AGACCCAATTCTACATTTCTCACACTACTTTAGAATACTAGATATTTAAAATAATAATATTTTGTTACATGGTAGAAATGATGAATTTTTATATACCAATATGCATCCAACATTCAAACAGTATTACAATAATAATTATACTTGAGCAGAGTAAATATTTTTTTCTAACAAATTAAGCACACTTTTTCATATTTTTAAAATCTCATGTTCATATATAAGAAAGTATGCTGTATATTAACTAGATATGGAAAATTTTCAATGTCCAAACAAAAAATCTCCATAGCTGACCAATATGATTTAAATTCTTAGACAGCAGTTGTGGATTATGATGCATTTACTTTAATTGTAACCTTTTACAAACAACTACTGCATATCTATGTCTAATATATTCTTAGCACATATATTTTTCCAGAAATTAAATCATAAAAATTCCTTAAAAAATAAACTATAGCACACAATGTAAGGTGCTTAGCATGTTAAGAAAAGCATGAAAGACATGAACAGAATTTAGCCATTCTATACTATGCATGTAAAATATATTTTATTCATGACTTCAATGGAATGTTGCTTGTAATAAACTGAACTTCTAACCTTCAGTTACCCAAATTTATACTCATACGGATAAACAAAAATACTATTTCATAACACTGTAAACAAATACAAAATTTCTACCTCTTTTAAACAAACAATTTATACCCTACACACATATGGAGAGTGGGGAAGAACTGATAAATGGAGAATGACACACAGTAAAATCAATTCAGTTTGAAGGAAAATAAATTTTCAATATATTTTAGAAAATAAATGTATGCTCAGCAATATTACAGTTCTTATAATTATGTGCTAAGAAAAGATGAAAAACATAATTTTTTTTTTCATATCATGACACAGGAAGTTTTAATGCAATTTTTGTGTATGGTTTAACAAATAATAACAAAACACTAAAGTATACATATATTTCTTCTCAATACAACCAACTACTGAAATTGTCATCATGCAGTGTTTTACACGTCTATGAAAATTTAAAAAAAAAAAAAAAAAAAAAAAAAATTCAGAACATAATACAGTAAAAATTCCAACCCAAATTTCCAAGAACAAATGCTTTTAAAATTTTTAACAGCTACCCGTTGAAATCAATATTATGTGCTATATTTGTAAGACATAATGGATTATAAATAAAGAAAAAAGAAGGAAAACAACATTTATATATGTTTTTAATGTTGGAGTTAACCTGAAAAAATGGAATATTATAAAAAGAAATGATCAAGAAAATGATGAATTATGCTAGCGACATGAACAATGAACATTAAAATATATTGTACAATATGGAATGCACATATTTTCCATTACTTTCTTTCTTCTTCTTAATTTTTTTTTTTTTTTTTTTTTTTTTTTTTTAAATGGAAGGATAAGAGGTGGAGAGAGTGAGTATTTCTCCAAGAAGTATTTATACTAGTTTTATATTTCAGGAGAAAACTGCTGTTGAATGAATACATAACCACTTACTACAGTCTAAATATTAAGAGCATTATTAAAAACAGATGAGTTACTTTTAAGTATAAAAAAGAATCAAGAAGAAAGCTATACATAAAAGCATAGAAATGCACTGGAAATAGTTTCTTATTTTAAATCTGAAACTTTGTTAGGATGTCAAAGTTTCTAAAAAATAACAGGATTTGATTTTGAACCATTCAGGTGCAAAAGCAACTCAGTGAACTGTAGAAGATAAAACACAATTTCAGAAACATACAACATGAAAAAGACATTCACAATTAAAAAAAAATACATAACATATATATAATATATAAAGAAAAATGAGGTAGAAGCATCTAAGTGTAACAGGACCCACACATTATTTTCAGCATTGGATTTAAGTGCTTGCATGCATTCTTTTCATTCGAATTTTGGATGAATATATTAATTTACAGAGCTTCTGAGGAAACACAGTGAATAGTTTAAGCAATACAGATTAGGATTATAACAATATGAGATTTTTCTCTAAATATCACTACTGGGAAAGATTGATTAAGATATAATTTTAAATTTAAAACAAAAATTGCTGCTTAAATTCAATGCCGATTTTTTTTTTACTTGTGAGAGAAAAACTGAAGCTGCACCGTAACATCACTTCTACTCTATTAATAAAGTCATTTTCAGTCAATTATTGGAATTGCAAACACACTGAACAAGGCACAAATATTGCTTGCAATTCATAAATAAAACATATTAATGATTCAAGCAGATGGTTTATCATCCTGTTTTAATCATTAATAATTGTATATTAAAAGAAAACACAATTTCTCATTCTTCTTTTACATACCCAGGAGTCATAATTCTTTTACATATACAGGAATTATTTATTAGTTTGATTTTGCTAATACCAATTGGTACAGGCACACCCCTACACTAAATTACTCAAAATGGAAGCACTATTCCTAGCTACTCAACTTATTAGACGCAGACTTTCTAAAATATTCAAATATGAATGGGAAATATCGATTGTAATCACTCATCATCATCTGTTATAATAGTTTAACTACTACTGCAATTTCAAAGAATAAAAGGGTCTGCATATAATTTGTAGATTAAAATTAGATTGCTGGGTCTGGAATAAAATTAAAATATGCATGACCAGGGCTTAATTTCTAAGATTAGAAATGCCGGAGCCCTATGGAAGACCATCAGCAAAGAGGAACAAGAGTAAATAAATAAATAAAATGACTATAAAACTCATTAATAATTTTAAAATTAAATAGTTAATTATTATCAAATCAATTGATACATATTTAATCAATAATTACAAATTCTTATTTAATCAATATTAGATAATTGATAATTATTAGATAATTGATTAATTATAATTTAATTGATAATTATTATTTATTGAAGTAATTAAATTATTAAAATTAAATAAAATGTAAAGAGATAAATTGAAATTTAATAAGCGACTTTAATATAATTTTATTGTTAAAATAAAATTTTTGAGATAAAATTTCTTCTGAAATTGTTATTCAGTTACATAAAAGAAGTGCCGCAGGCTTCTTATTCAGGGCTCTGGTGCAGTCCGGCTAGAATTCTGAACTATTACAAAAACTAAGAAGCACTGGCCCAATTTAAGCTTTGATCATAGGGGGGGGGGTGAGTTCTTTTATTATCACAATAATCAAGGTATATAGCTGATGAAAATTCCAGGTATATAATAAACTTAAGGTATATAGCTGATGAAAATTCCAGGGCAAAATAGAATGAGGGTATGAGTGGGTGGAAACAAAAAATGAGGGGAATCTTGGTAGAACGTTGTCTTTGACTGCAGCTCTCTGCTGATATAATTATAGCCATCAAGCAGATGTGTGTCAGGGTAAAATGAGTCCTGCATCCGATTCCTAAGAGGAATGTAAAGTTGCTGCTTATGCTGCCCCCCAATTAGTGGATACTGTGGGAAGACGATGTATAGAACGTGCTTGAGCAGTTTATCTCAGTATTTGACTCACATTTAAGAACACAAATTTTCCTTCCTGCGAGGATAACTAACTGTAAGCATCGATAACAATACACTAGATAAGATGGCATGGCGAGAAATTTACGCGTTTCTAAACAAGGCATGGCGAGAAATTTACACGTTTCTAAACAATCTCCCCCAAATTTATTGCCCTTCTTAAAGTGAAAGGTTTTCGCATGTGAAGAGGGGACTTTACTTGAACGTCTTATGTTCGCATAAGTTCGTATTTCTAGGGAAATAGAGTATTGCAAAGTCTGCTTATTGTTAAACTAAAGCATCAGGAATTCTAATTTTTTCCCCTTTAAATTATGGTTCACTTTTAAAAAAAAGAAGTACCGGAGCTTATCTTATTTAGGGCTCTGGTGCGCTCTGGCTAAAATTGTAATTTATTTTAAAAATTGAGAAGCACCAAAGCTGGGCTCCGGTGCAATTTAAGCACTTTGCATGACACTAGTTAGAGTACCAAGAAGGCTTCAACGTTTTTAGACACCTCAAATCAGAAATGAATAAATATCAGCAGTGAATAAAGCTACCAATTTTAAAAAGGTTTTTTAGAGCTGATGAGATATCAGAGTGAACCTTATCAAAACAAGCCCATGACACTTTATACAAATCAATCACTGTTTGAAAAGGCAGACACTTTTAGGTGAGTGCCCATACTTTTATGTGCATCTGTTTCTAACTGGAAACTTAGCAAACTTTGTAATCATGTAGTACTTTTATGCCAAGGCAATAGTATGCAAGTAAAATTTACTTTGAAAATGAAAGTAGCAAACTAACAACCCTCCTTGGTCAAGCATAAAGTTGCCTACACTTTTATAAAAGACACTTTTTTCCACCTCCCCTTTCTCTGAAAAGTTAGAAAATGATTTTTCAGGCACCTTTATGATGTTTCCATCTTTTCGAATTACAAAGGATTTGCACAATTGTGGCAGCTTTATGAAACCATCTTTGTAGAGTATTTCTTTTTTCTTCAGTATCAATACCTTCCTTTTCACCGTTCTTCTCATTCTTAGTAAAGAAGATAATGCTCACATTAAAACTTAGAAACTCTCATATAGTGATCACTATTTTCCAGTATTCTTCATCACAGCAAAGATTTTGTAAGTTTCATTTTCATTTTTAATAGCAGAAAGTCATTAAAACAATCTGATATCATAAAGTTTAACATACTATTAATTTATGCTTAAGGGCTTGCAATATTATTTTGATACAAATGCGCTTTCTTCCATTATTTTTTACAATGTTATTCACAAATTATGGATACACATGCATGGACCTACAATAGTACATTTTATATGAATATGTAACCTAAGAACGCAAAAGAATGATTATTTTTTAAAATACGGAAATCTATTTTTAGACCATATTACATTAAATTTTGATCTATTTATTGGAATTGCACACTTCGCTTATAACTTTTGAAATTTAGTAAAAACAATAATCTTCTCTATGGGTGAAAAGAACTAAGGTGAAAGCAAATATTTAAAATGTTAGGTCCACAACTCTTATTTCTTTTCAAATCTACTAAGAGCCGTTTTTCGGCAATTTTTTTTTTTAACTTAATTAGCACGGATGTAACTAACTTTAACTGCTATGCTTCAAGACTTGAATTTATAACTTCAGAACTGTGAAAGACTGTAATTTATTTAATCAAGCTACTACATGGGCACATGATCAGAAGATTTATGTTTGTGTATGTATTAGCAAATAAAAATGAATTAACTTCTATTGTTAATTAATAGCATAAACACTCTTCTGTTAATTAATAAAACAGCAAATTCAATATATTGTTCAAAAAAACATACCACAATTATTACATACTTGAAAATATACACTTATTATTTAATAACATAATACACAAACATAATGCAAAATACAGTTCAATTAAGTAACTCCAACAGAATTATAGCTTACTAAAGTTTTCTGTTATGCTGTTGATCTTCTATGACAAAGTGTAAAATGCTATGACATATACAAAAAGGTATTCCATAACAACCCTGAGTGGGACTTCACAATTCCAAGTCAGTGTAAGAAAAGGCAGCGTGGCCAACACTGCAATCACATTACACCTACTTCAGTATTTTTTCAGTTTCAGGTCTCCAGATCACTTTCAAGTATCAAATTTGAAAATACAGCACCCTACCACTGAATTACCAGAAACCTAATATAACATATAAATTTGAAATAAAACTTTTTTTTAAAATTATATTCTTCAGTGATTGAGAATTTGTCTTAATCTACTGCATTATTTGGAAAACTACATAAAACAATTGTAATCATAACTAGTTTGTCTATCTTTTTCAACTAATAGTTGAGAAAAATATTTCTTAAAGAGAATTTCCTGTGATAAATTGATATATTTGTTGTTATTATACTTTCCAAATGTCATTCAGTATAAAATGTATTCAATATATATTTTCAAATTACCATCTAGGTGGCATTCAGTAGCCAATAAAATTTAAAAATCATTGTACTATACCTTTTATTTTGCCTTAAGCATTGTTTGATCAAAGACAATGAAATAAATGAAATCAAGTAAAAGCTGAGAAGAAAACTAAGCTTATAAAGAACCATTAGAACTCCAGAAATGACAGCAAGAATAAAAATCGTTCTCTTCTAAAAATGTAGCTAATTATAAAAAGACCCCATGAAAATGTGGTAAGTACAACTGCATTAAAATAACAAGTTAAAAAACAAAAGGGGGAGGAGACACTGAAAGTTTCAAATTTAGTATTGCCTTTAATTGTGCAAATGAAAGCAAAAAGCTTATGGCATTCTAGAAAAATATACATGATTAGGGAATATAGATATACCTATCAAATTTCCAAAACAGGAAAACTAGGAAGGGTGTGCCTATACTACAAAAGACATTATCTTATACAGCTGTTTATCTTAAATTAACCAGCAATACAAAATTTATATCTTAATTATGCAAAGTCAAATAACATATTGAATGGTATTGCATATGATTACGGATAAACTCTTAAATTCTATAAAAATTGAAATATTATCAGTGCATTTATCAATACCATTTTGGTTAAAAATAAGAAATGATATAGCAAGAACATAATATTTTTACATTTGGGGATAAGCATTTAATTTCAAATACTTTATGTCAGATTCAGCTATACTGAGACTAAAAAATGTTCCACCTCTTAAAAAAAAAAAAAAAAAACCAACCTCACGAATATATATGATTCAACTACTAACAAAGCCATAATCCTAATTATATTGAATTAAATTTTAAAATGTGTAGGCTACAACATTTAGAAACTTTTAATACATGGACATTAATGATTTTGGCAGTATTTTGAAAAATTATGTAGAAAATCTGAAAATTTATGAACAGTTATTGCTTCCATATCAGAAATTTTTTTTTTATCAGCATCTTATGTAAGACTAAGCACCTTTCCACTGCTAAAAATTAATCAAATGTTCACATACTTAAAAGAAAAACATGACAGCACAAATACTATGCTATTTGAGCACTGAATGCTTTTCCATTAAAATCATAATTATTGTTATTTACAGACTATATATGTATCCAAATATACCTTTAAATTAATGGAATTTTATGTCTCATGAAAAGAGTACTTACAGGTAGATTTTTATACATATATATATATAAATTTGAAGGATAAAATGGAGTACTTTAGCTATATATTTTACTTTGTTTTAAGAATTACTTTCTCAATACAAAAGTTTTGAGTTACAGTCAACTTCTGATTCATTTGGGTAATAAATACTGGGGATGGTTAATAAAAACTCACAGTTAATCTGAGGATAGTTAAAAAAAGGGGAGAATAGCTTAATTATAATTAACAAAAATGCAGTTAAAAATTTATCTGTATTTTAAAGCGATTTAATATGGGAAAGTTTACTTGGTTGCATAAATTAAATCAGTATTCAACACACACAAAAAAAATTTGAATTAGCGTTTTATTTTGATAAAATGTGATATGAAACCGAAGAACACTAGGCATACATAGGTTAATGGCTGTCCATCAGTGCCATCATAATGTGTGAGCCTTCTGCCCACAGACCCAATGAGCATAGTGCCTAATACTATTTGTATACATCAGTTGACTTTATCATTAAAAAATTGATGGTTGTCATCAGCACACTGATGTGTCCAAGGGCCTATAATGCCATTCAGACAGCACTGCTGTACATAGGACTTACTTTTACAATTGAGCAATGCACTTTTAATAAAGGATTTACATAGGTTTATACACATTCCAGTTTAAATACAATTAAATCCACTTTAAAATACAACAACATTATCTGCTATTATAGCTGTTGTCCAGAATATTTCTTTTTCTGTTTTATGGTAGTTAGTATTACTAATAACACACTGATAATTTGTGACAGCAACTTTCCCAAAATTTCCCCCCCCAAAAAACTTTAATTATATGTATATATATAAAAAAAAGAAAGCAAAAGAGGATAGGGCTTGTTAATCTCAATCAGGAGTTGACTGTATTAAAATAAAACCACATTTTTCTTCTTTGTTTTTGTAAATGTGCATGCATCACTAAAATAAAGGGGAAAGTTTATTCAAGGTACACTTCTAATATTCATATTCATATTCAGTGGGGGCTAAGCTATTATTAAAGCGCCTGCGCACATATATATAGACATACAAAAAAAAAAAAAATACTGTATTTTGACACAGATATACAAAAAAAGGGGGGGGCTTGCTGTGCTTTACCCCCAAAACTGTTCTTTGCATTTGTTTAAAATTAAAATTAGGGGAAAAAAATACTAAATACCTGATAAACAATACATTAAGTTTATTGGTTTCTTACCCGATTTCATAACTATTTTCTGATAAAAAACTTCAATTTCTTTACATGACATGAATTAATTTTTACTTAACAACAATAATAAAAAGATAGTTAAAAATAAACTAAGATAAAATTTTAAAACAAGAAAAATTAAAAGATTGAATAGTTATCCTTCTAGTGGTAAAACAGAAATTTAAGAATACTATATTTCTTCTTTTTGAGATTTAAAATAACTTTATATATTATTTCAAAAAATTGTTCAGAATTCAATAATTTAATGAAATACAAGATTAAAACACTGGTAGTTTGGATTCTTATTGTACTTTTCTCTTCCAATTTAAATATCTGCACAAAATCATTAGGCAATGCTTCTGAAGGTTTTATTTTAAGATTGCTCAAATGTTCATGGTTCAGTTAAAATGTCAAATACTGTCTAGTGCTCTGTTTCAAAGAAACTAAAATGTGTTAAATAAAAATATCTTTCTGAATGAGGAAGAGAATTACAACATGCACAGATACATTTTTATACATTTAAAAACTTAATGTATTCTGAGCTAGGCTACATTTAACTTTCTTAATACCAAAAAGTAAATATAAACTAAAAATTCTACACTTAATTTTAAATAATGAGTATATTTTACTCCATTCATTATTAGCTACACAAAAAAATCATGATTGATATTAGCAATAATTATTTTGCATGTACAAAATACAGAAGGGACAGAAAATAAAATAATTAATGCTAATAAATTTTTAACTTCTTTTGTGCAACAATAATACTCTATACATTACTAAAAGAATATTAGATTTTTATTATTTTTAAGTGTCATCTGGAACTAAAAAATATCAATATATTAGAACTGCCAAAAAAATTCTCACCACATTACAGATAGATTTGCTTTTGATAAATGATTTTGAAATTTTAAATGATTTTTCCTTCTTGTTAATGCATACACAGAGCAATAAGATTTATTTGCATAACTATTAAAACACCCATAATTATCATGAAATTACATTCATTTCTCATATAATTGCTTACTGTTATAAAGATATGTTAAAATATCTATTATTGCCATCTATACAAACACATAAAACACATAGTAAATACATACATAGTTGTCAATGATTTAATCAACATAATAAGATAAAACAGGTTAAAAAGTATCTTAACAAAAATAAAAACATATAAGAATCGTGCTTTAAGGGTATACTTGCAAGAGCGAGGTCTAATTTTGGCTACTTTGATTAAACCAGTGCCACATTTTATTTTACCTCTAAAATGTGTAAGAACTGTTTAAAAACTTAAATTTTTAACAGATGAGAAAGGAGTTTTGCTTATGCAAGTACAGTTTGCTGCATATGCAACAGCCATCTGTAACATACTAATATTAAATTTATACAATAAAGTCCAATTTCAATAATCACATGCTTTTTTTATAAAACAAGAGCAAGTTTTCAAGTTTTATTAAACATGAAATTATTCACTGTATTATAATAACTGAAACAAATGAAAAATATTTCACTTTCACATGAACATGTTAAAAAAAATAAAGCACAAAAGGTAACTGCACACAATGTAAAACAAACATCTTGTATTTTATTGCACCACATTTCAAAAGGAAAGTTGATTTGCAAGTTTTGTACAAGGTTAAATGGACAAACAGCATTAAATAAACGTTAGGTATGTTTCAATATGTATGTTACTACGATACAAACCAATTTAATAAAAATTGTGATACAACTGAATTAAATTTTAATTGTACATATTTTTAAATCAAGTTCATCCAGCACTGGTTTTTTTTAAAGCATTTTAATAGAAAGAATGCTTATATTTGCATATACTGCAAAAGCAGTTAATAGAAATTCACCAACAAATACCTAATCTTTTCCCCTTAATGTTGGTGCTATAAATTCCATATCCAATCTGCCAATTAATTTTAGCTGTTTTCTTGTTTTTCCCCTTACCCGCTTACATTAACAGTTTATTTACAGCTGAAAGATATTTTACACCACTTCAGAACAGTGCACTCCAGTTTACCTCCAGTCACACACATGCCATTTTCACTTTTTTTTTTTTTTTTTCTTTTTCTTTAAAAAAAAAGGGGAAAAAAAAAGAAATCTATTGTTAATAAACAAATAAATGTACATGGATTTTGCGAAATGGTTTCAAAAATGATAAAGTTCAAATACGTATCTATGGTACAAGTGAAAAATATTGGTGAATGCTTTTGAGTTGCATAAACATTTTAAACATAAATATAAAACAGTCCATAAAAAATACCCGCTTCTGACAAACTATTAAATATCTGAAAGGAGACACCTGCCCCTTGTGAAATAAGTTTATTTTGCACTTTAGTAAATCCACAGTGATGACTTTTAAGTCAAATCACTTAAGTTGGTTCTAAGGATGAGTCTGCATTGGATGACTGAGAGAATCGGGGACCAGCAAGGGGTGAAAGAAATGCATTAACTGAAAATGGGAGCGATGACTGCTCATTATCGCTCACACTACTTCTTGCGAGAGTATCTTCCTTTACACATGAAATTTCATTTTGACAATGAGAAGAGATTTTGGATGGCACACAGTTTTGGTCATTCTCTGCCACTGAGAGAGAGTTTGACGAAGAATGATGATAAAGCGATGATGGTGAAATGAGTGGCACTGTGCAAGTTGTAAAAGTTTCTGGAGTAGATGTTACAAATGAATCCTTTGATTCAGTATTGCAGGAACTTTCATCTTCTTCATCTGGAGTACCATGGGAAGAATTTGCCTCCACAGGTAGATGGCAACTTTCATCAAGAGCTGTAGTATCTGAATGTAATTTACTATCCTCACCCTCCAGCAAGATAGTTGATGAAGTGATGTCCCCAGCATCATCTTGCCAACTATTTTCTGATACTTTTTGATCATTAGCAGTGTAACGCATACGATGTTTTGTCACTGGAAGGTTATCTTGATCTGATGCCTGATCATAAAATTAAAAGTTAAATTAGCACATGCTTTCAAAAATATGTTAATTTACTATATCACAGTACAGGGTGACCCAAACAAGGTGAAATCATTTTTAAATGATCATAAAACCTCTTATCACTTGTTTTAATGTCAAGATAAAGCTTAGAAACTTATTACACACATCAATATTTATTACTGCAACAATAAATAAAAGGTACTCAAATTTCAACCATGTTTATTTTAGAATGTCAGTAATTATAAATTGTTACACAATTCTTTGATTTGCCAGCAACAAGAATGATTTAATAAGTTTCCATGGAAAGAATCATAGAGAGTTGTTAGGGTTTTCCTCTATAGTTTCTCCTCCTTTATCAAATTCATTACATTTTATAACAGAAAATGAAAGACGTGGATAATAAAAATGTTGAGTGGAAGTTGAAAAGGATGATACAAAAATGACTAGTCTCTTAAATTTATATTTTCAGTAAAACTTGTTGGAACCAACACCATAATAAATATGTATTTGGCAAAAAATAGCATATTTTTCAGATGTATTCATACAACTTAACTGCATTTAAAAATATGATCTTTACATAGCATCTTCATAAACAAGGGCATGCTTAAGCTCTTAAATAATGCTTAAAAAAAGGGAAGCCTATTAAAACTTTATCAGAAATTGTTTCATTAATATGGAAAGAAAAAAAGGTGTCCTAAAATTTCACATTTCAAACTGAATCGCCTTAGAATTCACCTACTAGAAAACAAAAATTTAGTTCAAGATACAGTTACAATATTTATTTCGTAATGAAATATCTAGAGTATTAAGTTTTCATTTTAAGAATAAAATTATTTTGCCTGGTACCAGCCTAAAATTAAGAGATCAGGAAAGGTAAAATGCAGATGCAAAAGACAAATTGTAGAATAAACTTTAGATACGAATATTATCTACTTAGGCACATAATAAAAGTTTATTATGATTATTATATAAAACATATTAATTGTACATTAAATGCAGAATTTATTGCACCATAAATATAGCATTTCTACTTCTTTTTTCTAAAACAGAAACATGGCGATCATGTCTTATTAGAGTGTTTCTTCACGATCACATATATACAGAGCTGTTCCTCTGCATTTGAAAACTTGTTTCAATCGAGCAATGGTATTCTTTGTGATAAACATTACTTTTGCAACTTCAATAATGCTTTGTTGCAACTCAAATCATCCAACTCCTCTTTACGATCAATAAATACTCTCTCAAATGATGTCATGGAGTATTTACAACTAATATGCATTGTACTTGTAATTATGCAACATTATCTCCAAGATTATAAATGAGATACTTAGCAACCAGATGACTATAATTTATTTGAAATGAACAGCATTTGTTTCTTTCAAACTGATGATAAAATTTGAATAATATTTCCCTACTTCTCCTATACTTGCACTTCTTGCTGGGGTAGTAGAGCTGTAGGGATTTTTTTTTTTTTTTTTTAAATTGTTTCTCAGTATTGGCCACACAGTGTAAATGACAGATGACCGTACTTCATTGTAAACACTTATTAACACCCATTCAGTATAGTGGTTAGTGAAAATCACTGTCGTACCAATGGGCCCAGGTTCAAATCCCAGAGAAGCCATTGATATTTGTAAGTTTATATGATCTGTTTGGCAGGGGGCACTCAAAAAACATGGCGAACCGAAAGTCCTTTTAAGTGTATAAGGCATGCCTAACAGTCAGCAAACTGGTGTTACGGTTAGCACACTCAGGCATATTTGAGAAGTCCAGGTTTGAATTCTGGCAAGGGTATTGCTCATTTTTCATATCTTCAGCTCCAAAATCCTAATGGCTCTACAAGTAGTTAGTGGTAATGTACAACTTATGGTGAAATTATGGTGTCCTGCCCACTTATACCTGTACTTGTATGCATTACAGTCAATCTTCTTTTCAGAAATGAATCTATATTTCATTCATGTACACCATCAGAAGTAAAACTTCACTGGAGGAAGAAATTAAAGGGACAACTATAAAAGCACATGTAACTTGAATGATGTTGCAGTTAAGAACATAAAGCTTCCAGATTTTTATTTTGTCATGCCTCACATATTTTCAGAATAGAAAGTTGAAAGAAAAGAAAAAATAGTTGGTGTTACAACTCTTTAGAGATATCTAAAAGACATCAAGATATATCGTTACCCCTGTCCGAAACACAAGCTTTACAATTTTTTATGCTGTGTATTAGATTGTCCAAGAGTTCCTGTGGTTAAAAAAGTATTCACGATGACAGTGTCTTGAAGCTCCTGCAGAATGCTAGGTGGGTGCTGTAGTGATGCAAGTCAGAATCCTAATGTGCCCTACATATATTCTATCACATTACCACTGCATTCACTAGGCTCCTTCACACAAAGATACTCAGTCATTAGTACAGTGTGATGGAGACCAGCATTATCACCCTTTAAGAAGAAATTATTACCAACCACACCCCTAAACAAACAAAGATAAGGATCAAGAACCTATGTACACTTCAACAGCCGCAATATAGTAGTTAGTGACACTAACTGTAGCACTGATGGGCCCAGATATAAATCTCGGAGAAGGCATAAATGTTTGTACGCATCTGGGATGGAAGCTTGACAGTTAGTTAGGTTCAGCAATACGTCAGTTACCTATAGTACTACAGAAGCACTGGCCTAGCTTCTACTTGTATCAGCATACTTCAACATTCATAATTGCACAGACAAAAATGCATAGGTAAGCGTTGGCTATAATAATGGCTGTTCATATGATTTCACCATTTTTGTACCAATGCCTTTCTCAAATGTTTTCAGGCTTATTTGTATATGCTGTACTCTCTCTAGATTTTAAACATACATTAAAATCAAACCCCCCTTCGAAAAAAAAAAAAAAAAAAAAAAAGACTCATGTAAAGTGAACTCGATTCCAGTCTGTAGTACTCCAGTCACAATGATCTTAGCATCTCTACAATGGGGTACAGTTTCAAGCACAAGTTAAGTGGAATACAAATCAGTGACTACCTACAATAATCTTTGATGCAGCCTGATATTTATATTATATAGCTCAATGATCAAGTTCCCATAGTTTCAGCAAACACCCTCACAATATGGGCTGATGTAAGTTTTCTCTCTATTTTTTTTTTTTTTTTTTTTTGAAATGATTGTCAAATAATGGTCCTGATAATCTGTTGCACCACATTTCAACAATAATCAGGTAGAATTTTGACATGGTGTGTTTAGGATACCTTTTGATCTTTACAGATCAGTATCTGTCCTACTTCTATTCTCCCAATCGTATGCCATTTTTCACAATCCAACTTATGCCCTCTCAACAACATGTTCCACCTCCATAATTAAGAACACTTTTTAGCTAGTCACACATTTTTAAAATTAGAATAATAAGTCCCCACTGCTCAACTTTCCGCACCATCTTTCAATGAACTTAATTAAAATAAAGCATGATTTTGTAGCTATTCTTTTAATTTTTCCTACCAGTATAGCTCAATCTAATACTATGCATGGTAAACACATACTATAACAACAGTTGCAACAGCATCACTATTAAAAAGATAGCTACATCTTCTGGTGAATATTTTATTCTATCTATTTAGTGAATATGGATATCAAAAAATTATAAAAATGAATTTTTAAGCAAAATTTTGGCAATTATGAAGTTTAAAATGATTTGCTTCAATGTTTCTCATTAAATTAAATTCAGTTTTTCAGAGTTAATATCTCCACAGTTAAAAATATTTTCATACTATACTATATTAAACTATCAGCACTGTAAGAAACTTTTCTTTTAATGATCAAATTATTTGATTAACTAACTGGTCTCTGATTCTGCAGAATTACAATGAATTAATTTGCATTTCATTATACTCTTCATTGTGTATTTTATCTTGTCATATGAAGAAAACAGTCTCCTTCTTTGACCGATTCCAAATTTTCATTTTTCTCAACTGGGAAAATATTACACATTGTCCTCATATTTAAGAGGGACTATTTTTAATACAAGTATGAGAATCAAATACTCAATGATAATTTAAATTCTTGCACCATTTCCTTCAATCAAAAACATGCGTATTTTTAATTCATACATTTAACTTACCAGGATGTTTGCAGCTGAATCCTGCTGACTGCTTAAGGACGAACGACTATTTCCAAGCATTTGATGTGGAATGCCATTTGGTCTTCCATTGCATAATCCAGCAGGATAACCTCCCTGAAAACAATTACACATTGTTCATTACAAAATAATAATTATCCATGTCATATACAACTATTCCAATGAATTCCAGTGATTCCACCAGAAAGAACATTTTTGATACTGAATTTTCCCTCTCCTTGACATCTTAATGTTGAGTCAATGCATAAGTTTATGCCCTTTACACACAGTATTTTTCCTAGATATCACTGATAATGGCAAGTCTGTTTAATACACTAGAATTCCTGCTCATCATAGTTTATATCCACACCAATAAATATGAAAGGTTCTATTTCAGTTAACCAGCCCCACCCCCAAATTCTAAGGTACAGAATGTGAAACTGAAGACAAGCATCTCCAACACATTATGTGCGAATTCAACAAAGATTCTATTGTTACAAAGACTTCCGCACTATGTGTGGACAGAACGAAAAAGGCAACCTGAAAATAGACCAAGGTTCTGTGGAGGTTCTAGATGAGTTTATGTATCTAAATCAGTGATTTTACAGAAATTTCATTCACCACACTGCCAGAATGTTAAGAACAGGGTGTGAACAATGCACACAAATACATCAATGATGCATTGCATAATTAATTTAATACTGAAAGGAATAAATGCACACTGGTAAAAAAATGGCACTAACTTATACATCAATGCAGTTAACATGCAATATATATATATTTTTAATTTAGCACTCAATTTATCACATGAGCCCCAGCAAGAAATCTTGCCACTTACCCTCACACAAGACAATAATAAGACTTAAGCAAAGTCCTGAAATGTGACTTTAACTAAGGTACATAAAGATCACCTAGTTGTTTTTTTAAAAAAAAAAGGTCATAAAAAATTTAATGCTGTAAATACTGACAGTCTGTGGCAAAATAGATATAACATGAAATTACACAGAGTGAAGATGATAAAATACATTAATTAAGAGCCTGAAATTTGCTTGCTACTTTAGTTAAATGAGTTCTTCCTCGCTAGGAAAATTCAAATTAAATGGAAAGTAGAGCTGAAGCAAGTTTTAAGGAAGTCCATGGCTCATCTTGGGATGTTGTGCCATGAAATAGATAAAATTATCTTTTAGTGGCAACAGCTTTTAGTTCTTGTTCTGGAAATAAGTTTTTATTAAAATTAGCAGGAATGAAAAAAGTGATTAAATAATATTCTTATCAAAAGCATTTCTTTCTAAGATTTGAAATAAGAACATGAAGATCAGATTTGAATTTTTTTTTCCTTTTTTTTTTGCCGCATGTGTACATGAATTTATATGCAAGACTTGTCATTACCATTATGCTTATCTATATATTTATAGCAATTTTTTTAAGGAAGATTAACAACAGGAATATTTTTAAATACCCAATGTCTAATGCATCATTTTGTTCTTTAGAAACTAGCTAAACACTGTGCCAAATAAAATTTATTTTAAATTTATACATAATAGAGAAAATAATTTTCAGTGTACCTTTGTATCCAAATGCCGGTCATTTGAGCCATTGGGAAAAGTGTTCAGCATTGGTGTAAAGCATTCCATTTCTTGGCACTCGACATTGGATGCTCTTTTCTCTGTAGCTGGTAAACTTCCCAATATATGGCCATTGACCTGGGAAATATAACCATTGCCACAACAAACAGAATATCTGCCATCAGAACCAGGATCAGCAGCTGGAGGGCAACATCTACATAGAAAAGAAAAAATAGCATTCATTTGCAAGGGATTGAGTTACAACTCCTCAAAATTCATTAGAATGTGAAATCATTAAAAAATATCAAGACATTTATATTTCTAACTGCAAAATTTCTTCAAGTATAATTTTATAAATGTTGTGAGGTAATTTCTACTATTTTACATGACTTTTGTTTCATTAAAAACTCCCAAGTAGGAAAATATTCATTATACTTGTTTGCTAAAAACTAAAAAGTAATGAACTATATTTGATCATATAGATCAAATATAAACTAACGTAATAAATGTATTACTTAATAATAAATTACGTAATAAATGTATTAACGTAATAAATGTATTAATCCCACATAAATGTATTCACTAACGTAATTTAATTAATGCCTATTCTAATGGATTCTTTTAGATCAGGTGGATATTTTTATGTTTCCATGAATTTTTCACATAAAGGTATAATAACTTTTTAATTTATTAAGGAATAAAAAATATTTTATCAACTGAAATTTCTCTACATTAAAAAGAGAGAGAGAATGAAACTTTTGATCAATGGTTATGTACTATTTACCTAATATTCTACAACTTATTTTAAGAAGCTTTTTAACACTTAGTACATTTCTGTAACTGAAATTTAAGGAATAAAAAGCACAGCCACCTTTCCTGAATTCTTCCTTTCCCCCACTCTACTTTAATATTTACTTCATTAATGGATTCAGAAATTGCATCTTTTTGTAAGTACTGCATAAGTATTTTTGGCATTTAATGAAAAAGCTTACCTATTCCGACATATTATGATAATAGCACATATGATGATACAAGCCACGCCAATTGATATCCCAAGAACAATGCCAAGAAATGGATCTGGAGGTTCTGCATCAAACACTAAATAATAGCAATAATAAGAGTTAAATAAATAAATATACTAATAAAATGTATTATAATTAAAAGTTTTAAATTAAAAACTCAGGTTATGTGCTCCAACAAGAAATGACATGGTTTGAAATTATAGGTTAGTATAGAAATTCCATTAAAGTCAAATAGTCCTTTACAACTACTTATTTGCCTTTGCAAACTACACTTGAACCCTGCTATAATGAATTTCAAGGGTCGGAAAGTTTGGTTTGCTATACGTGATTTGATAAGGAAAGATTACCTCACAAAAAATATAAAAATATTGCTTTTGTATTTGAATGAAAATGAATAACAAAAGATAATAGTGTATTTACTTTTAACTTTTACTCAAGATATGCATGATTGCAAAGAAAAGACTCAATGCCTTTTGCAACAAATATTCTATCTTTCTAAAACACTTTAAGAAAGCAAAACCTTAGTTAAGGGTAGAACTTGGAATAGTATTCTTACTTTTTTTTTTTTTATTTTTTTTTAAAAAGGCCATAAAATGAATCAATTCTATAAAAGAAAATCTGTAAGATTCACTATCTCCTTTTTTCCTAAATAGTGAACATTTTAAAATTTCCATCATAATATTAACTTTAGAACAACCTCACAACTCAGCCGAAGAATTTGAATGGAATCAACGATTCTTAGGTTTAAAGGTCACATAGGTAAAGAACCACATACAAAGAATACCATATGATATCCTAAGATTTGCTGATTGTGTCTTCGTTCTCCTAGACTCAATTTCACATCTGTTTTGTTTAGAACACAGAGAAGTTTAGTCTTTGTTTAGAACACAGAGAAAAATTGGGATGAACATAAATGAAAAGTTCTTTTTCTTTTTACACTTATAAACTTTGTTTTTATATCTTTATATATTTGTGAGTAAGAACAACCAATAATTAAAACAGGTGTATGTATTACATTATTATTGAACTGAAAAATAAGGTAGCATGTATTCTAATAGCTTCAATTATAAGCAATTTAGAGTGTTAACTTATGGTGAATACTTAATACTAAGTTGCCAAGGGTTCATCCAGAACCTCTAAAGCTATGAGTAAACATTATTTTCCAGATTCTAATTCCAAAATGACCTGCCTACTTTATGCCTTAACTCCTTTTCTTCCAAGAGATACATTACTTTAAGTGTCAAGATACATTTCAAGATGCAAGTCTATGAGCTTAAAGATATCATGATTAATATTTTCGAACATATATGCACGCACACACACACACACACACACACATGGTCTGGCTACTTAGAGGGTTAACTGCTTCCCAGTTACTATAATGATTACTGGAGGGTAGTATAAAATAATGATGCTGCACTTTTAACTTTTTAAACTATTTACTTATTTATAAGCCTAGAATATAGAGAACTGGAATGCCAGTATAATTTTATTTCATATGTCTCCCAAAAGTATTGAAAATCATAAGTTACTGAATATTAAATGTTGCCATTTACAAATTACTAAATATTAAAAGTTACAGCTAGCACTATATTATTAATGATATCATATCATACACTGATACCATATTATTATTATTATTCTGAATGATATGGTAGCAAGTACGCTAATTATTTCATGAACACGGAATATACAGTAGTAATTTATTCTGAATATTTAACTGTTTTCCAGTAAAATGGTAATTATCAGAGGCTGCTGCTATATCAATGATTCAGATACACATTTAAAAAAAAAAAAAAAAAGCCAGAATAATTTCATTAAAAATACTAACATTAAAAAAGGGCCAGAGAAATTTCATTAAAAATACTAATTCCAAACTATTTTTAAACAGAAATAATCATTGAATTTCATACTTTCTTGACTAGGCAGCTTGGAATTGTTGTGCCTCACAGGGATGTTTATGGTTATCTTTTGTGAAGGAGGACCAATGCCAGCTCCATTCTCAGCTTTCATGCATAAGTAGTAAAGTGTATTGCTAGACAGGCCGCTCAGCAATGATGTTAGTTCAGGACCTGAATATTAATCTTAAATTCATTATTTCTCAAAATTAAGAAACATTACCTAGAGAACTAAATAAACTGCAAAAGAATTGTTTTACAAATGTATTTAGACAAACCTCGCTCTTCTTTCGAATTCCAAGAGTCAATATTGTCATCATCAATTCGAGAATTGTACAAAATGTGGTAGGCAATAATTACACCATTCGGAAATTTTGGAGGCTGCCAATTTAATCGAATAGAGTTTGCATCAATTGGTGCCCACGTGACATCTTCAGGAGCAGATGGCACTATATGGAAAATAAGCTTTCAATGATAAATGTTGTGAAGTTAACAGATATCACTCACAGTGTTTTTATAAATGTTCATTATGAAATTTAATGATAATAAAATATGAAAACAATTATAAATAATAAATCTGAATTGAATGACATAAATAATAATAACAATTCATTGCAGAAATGACATAAAATTGTATGCATTTTCACAAACATAGAATAGCCTACAATTATTTCATATGTCTACAACCAAATTGCTTTAAACTGGTGCTAAGACAGCATGATAATGTACATACTGCCACTTTTCAAAGTGTTACTAAATTTTAATTACCCATGCATAAGCTTATTTCAACACTTTTGAGACAATCCAATAATTGAATTCAGCTATTCCCGCCCCTTACAAAATCTGACCAGAAACTTAAGCAACAATGGAATGGTTACACACATTTAAACAAAAAGAGGAGTGGGTATCCAAACTGTTCCTTCCCCTAACTAAAATGCTACTAATTAAAATTAGTTCAGAAATATGCTTCCACTGAAATTTTACAAAAGGTTGTGATAAAATTTTAAGTTTTATATGAAAATCAAATCTACATCTATTTTGAAATAAGTTAAGAATGACATACTATTATTTTTTCAAATATGAAAGTCACCCTATTTCTGAAAATATTTACATGAAAAGGTGTGTCCTATAAGAAAAGAAATTAGTCCAGTAACACACTTCAATAACATCAACATGCTGATCAGTACCTGTATTCCCATATTTTTCTCAATAATAACAACTTTTTATTTCTGCACAGTTTTGTAGTGTAGCTTTTTTGGTAATACTTTCAGATAGACAAAAAAAGGGGGGGGAACGGAGATTCCAAATGAACAAAATCCAATCTTATTTATCTTATTTTTAAGATATAAGCAAAAGTTCCTAGTTTTCAATGACAGATTTCCACAATAATGAAAGCGATGTCTCATTTTAAAATCAAAGGAAAAAACTTACTTCATTTTATTTTTCAAAATAATTAAAATGAAAAGCAGAGGTTCTGCATACAAATAAAACATTGTACATTTGCAAATTACAGAAGGAAAATGCAACTGCAACTTTTGGATACCAAAGGCATATGATGCAACTCCATTCTGGAAGTGCTTAAAAAAAAAAAAAGAAAGAAAGAAAGAAACACTTATGGGAAGTACACAAAATACTTTTTTTTCTTCCTTCAGAATAAATTTTGAATACAATAAGAAAAACATGTAAAGACAAATTTAAATTATTTTTAATTCCATTTTAGATATCATTCTATTCATGTATGAAAGTATAAAATGCACTTCAAAATTAGCAAGACAAATTATAGTACAGAAGAGTATCTTACAGGCTTCATTTGTTCGACATTCCACCATCTGACTGAAAGGGCCTTGTCGTTTTCGTACATCATGCGAACGGACAGAAAATTCATAAAGAGTAAATGGTTGCAAATCTGTTATTGTAACTTCATTATTTGTACTAAATATGAGAAAAATAGAAAATAACACTTTAATAAATAAGGCAATGTCAGTACAACAGTTTCGTGCAAGTTACAGTTATGGCAAAAATTGCCAACATCTATTTTTCATTATGCTTTTACAGCGTATCACAACAAACAATGATTAGCATACTTAACTTTGGACATATCCATTTTATTATAATATGTGACAACAGCTCATAAATCTGCATTATTTGTTTCAAAATATTCTGTAACACTTTTTTTTTTTTTTTTTAAATTTCTATACTTCATTTTCATGAAAGAGTTAAATTGATTTGTTTTTGTATCAGATGCTTATTTGATAATAATAAATAAGCTAACTTTTCAATCTTCAACTTTCTTACTCAAAAGAGGTTATCTGAAGTGTATCAAATGGGAAATAACATATGCAGTAACACAGATTTAGTGTGATGACAATGATAAGAAGACAAATGATGCTGGATTGGTGATCCACACTTGCACTAAGAAATAATTCTAAATATTTGACACAACATCTATATTTTAAATTCAAGGAATAACATACAATAAAGCAATACAAGAACAAAGTACGGTGTATTTGCTGACTGCTTAGTTTCAAATGTAGGTTTGATATGTTTATATTTTAACTCACAAAAGAGATAAGCAACAAACATGTAAGTTGGACAAAGCAGATACAGTAAAAGCAAAAATAAGCTACAGATAATTAAGAATAAAAATAGTGATTCTTTTCCTTCTCATTAGAAGGGCATAAATATCACTTTATATTACAGATCAATCAAATTTTTGATTTAATTATACTGAACAACATATTTTACTTTATATATATTTTATTTTTTGATTGAACAGCAGATTTTACTTTCACTTCTGTCATTACATAAGTATATGCATCATTGGTATATGAAAAAAATTTATTTTGAAATGACAACTTAAAAAAAATTATCATAAGAATATTACATTTTTTAGGATAGAAAGGAAAAACATCCGAATTAAATAGGAAACTTAAGGCTAAGATAAATTAAAAGTTAGAATTTTATTTTTTCATACAATCATAACAAGAACTGCTTAAAAGTTCAGAAAAAAATAATATACTAACCTTCGTATATAATAAATATGTGATTCATTGACTAGTCCATTTGCAAAGACTGGATGATAACGAACAGTATAATAACTAATATTTCTACTAGTTACAGGTGGTTTCCAAATGAGATGAATACTTGATGAGCTTGTGGGTTCAGCTTCCAACTGATGTGGTGGCTCAACAACTGAAAGGATTAAATATGTTATATATATATATATATTATAACTTCAAATTTTGGAAGAAATTTATACACATATATTATAAACAAGCTACATTTTGATAAATAATGATAAAATTCTAAAGACATATTTATAAATATTATGTGGAGTTAAAGCTCACCTTTTTTTTAATAATTATCAAACGATACTTTTTTTATATATTTTTGTCAAAATAAATATCAAAGGAAAAAATTTGAAGTCACAAAAATATATTTCATTAATGATTATTCAGTCTTCTATTACAAGATAAACAAAAAAGTTCTTGCCGTTTTGGACAGTTGGAAAGAAAAAGTCATAAAACAAATAATAATCACTGCTAATCCTCAAAATAATCACCATCAGCATCTAGTGCCTTTTGCCAACAAGTGGTTAGCCATGCGATGTCACCGTGGTTAAAAATTCAGGAGATAAGTCCATGAGGGCCGGTTGCTGAAGCATTTCCCACGAAGATGGTTGTCCAGGGAATGGAAAAAGTAGTAAGTAGTCTGTTGATGCAAGGTCTGGAGAATATGGTGGATGGGATAGTGTCTCCCCAATTGCTGGATAGGGTGCCTGGCTTCCCAAGCCACATGCGGCCTCGCATTGTCATGGAGGAAGAATTATACCCGTACGATTGACCAATGCTGGCAGGCTTGCCGTGATGGTTTGGACCACTAGCAGAAGCTCATTAGTGCACCACTTGGTGACTAATCCACCAGATACAGGGCTTGATCTTGCATAAGGTCTTGCAGGGTGAGGTGACAACCAATGTCTGAAACACCTGGATGTGTCATACTGGACCCACTTTTCATCGCTGGTGAGTTCTCGATCAAATATGGATGCATTGCAGTGCTGAGCAAGAAATGGCAAACAGGCAGTGACACGCTGTTGCTTTGTTTGCATTGGACAGCAAGTGGGATACCCACTTTCTTAGCATGTATGTCTTTCCTATGTGGCGCAAATTGATTGTTTCATTAGATACCTGGAAGTGTGCAGCAAGCTCACCACATGTTTGGCTACTGTCACTTTCTATGGCTACTCTCTGGGCCTCATCGTCCAGCGCTCGTTGCCGACCGGTGCGTCATATCCCCTGACCTGAACTTCTGGAACTACTGCCTAATGGTTCCTTTGTTAACAGCATCATCCCCAAAGCCTGACAAATCCGGTGACTTGATATTCTGCTACTGACAGGCTCAAGTTAAAATCATACAGAAAACAACTCCAAACGAGCACCTTTTAGCACATCCATTTCAATCAATAGCTGTGTGAGTTATGTTTGAAGTATCAATGCAATGCACTTTTACACTCTTGGTCGGACTCCCATCCTAACCACTTCATTGCCAAGTTTGGTGACTATTTTTATGTTGGGGTTCACTCTTTCAATGTCATATCAGAAAGAACTTTTTTGGTTATTTAGCTATATAGATAAGTAATGGCAGTATTAATATAGATAGCACAATAAAGCTTGTAAATTTTGCAGAAGGGGTTCAGAAAATAATATTGGGACATGTATGCAGCTTTGACTGTTAATGAATTATACCAATTAAAACTTGCTTTGCAATTAAAATGTTATTAAACTTCCAAACCGGTCCCTCCCTCCAAAAAAGGAATTCATTAAAATTTAATTTTGCAGTATCTATAAAGGGAAAATTTGTTATTACATGAAGAAATTTGTCAATAACCAAACACAGGTAAACAAATGATATCGTTGTAAAATACACCTGAAATCAGAAACTTATGCTTACTTATGTATTATTAAGGTTTTCCTTTCCTTTCTTTTCTTTGTTTCTAAATTCATGTTTCTTAGTTCAGAAATTTTTTTTTTTAAGTATTCAAGAATAAACTACTGTTCATATGCATTACACACTTTTTCCATTTCTTTCATGTGGGTTTAATAATTGTAATAAAAATTTTAAAAATTAACTTCTGGGGGAGAGCGTAATTACTTTTGTTGTTTTATTTCCTGCGATTTAACTGAAAATAAAACAAACTTGCATAATAAATTCTAAAATGTACATTTCATGTAGTGTTTTCAAAACAATACTGTTGCTGAAAAGAAATCAAACAAAAATGCAACATTTTTCAACAGAACTAGTCTAACCAAATATGTCAGAATTCTGTGGATCACAGGTCATGTCTTTTCAGTTTTATTTACATTTCTCCCTTTCTAATTTTTGCATTAAGTTAGAATTATTTGAAAAAAGTAACTACCAAAACATATCTACAGTTAACAGACTAACACTGCTGGTTGATAGTTAAGTGTCACATCATTCAAATATATTATTAATCCATCAGCCATAAAAAAGTTATTAACGCATATTACAGCTTTACCTCACACTTAATAAATATGAGAATGGTGATAGGAATAATAAATCAGATACAAATAATTTAAAAACAGAACTCACAAATGACAATGTAAATATTGTTGAATGCAATAAATGTAAAAATAAACAAGCACACAATGATAATTTGTAAGAAAAAAAAAAAAAAAAAAAAAAAAAAAAAAAAAAAAAAAAAAGCTTGTTCAGCATTTTAGGCAATTTATAATCATAAAAACATTAAAGTAATTTGGCATAAAATACAATCTTTTTCCTTTGCTCCTCTTTTGAAAGATTAATAAATTTTCTTTAGATACTGTGAGCAAAGTTGTTTTGTCAAACTTAAGACAACGATCATATACTTACTTAAATGTAATGTATGTGCATAAATGTGAGTATAAGTTAGACAATTATTTTTAAAGCGGCAACCGTAAAATTCGTAATTATGTCAAAAAAGCAGTTTTAGATTAGATTACATTTTGAATAGAACTATCAATTTCAAGAGCAGTCAAACATAAGTTCCTATTCTTTAGCTAGAGGGGGAAAAATGACATATATATTCAAAACTATGCCAAACTAAGGGATTTTTTTGGGGGGGCATACCATTTAAAAGCTGTATCTTAGAAAAAGTAACAGAATTATCCCACTTATTATGCAGATGAAGGAAAGATAATGAATCCCATAGTTTTTTCGTTCATGATTTAATAAATGCACCTGGGGGAAGACTGGAACTTTTTAAAAAGTATTGTATTTTATCTATTATTTTTAAATTAATGAGTAAATATTAACTTTTTAAACATTATAAATGCATATAATAAGAACATATTCTCTTCTAAATCAAAGCTTTTTTTTTTTTTTTTCAAATTTAAAATCTTTATTTCTTTGCTGCGAATTGCCCCTTTACAGTCAGTGTCAACATGAACTGCACCATCACTCCTCACCCGCTGTTTAGGTGGCAAAGGTTCTAAGAAATAGCCGTTCTCTTCTCAGTCCTGAGTCTTATCTGCACAGCAATTGGCTATAATGATATGTTTACTAATCTGAAGAAAGATGCTTAAATGTTGGTTGGATTTTTTGGAAACATTTAAAAATCTTCTGGAATTACTCTTTATAATCCAAAAAAGATGCCATTCAAAATGCTTCTATCCCATTTAATTGGATAAGCATGGTCCTAATACATCTACAAACAGACTTTCAAACTATAATTCTTACCTTCTACAGTCTCAGTATCTGAGTTGTCACCAGAAAATGTGATGATATTACGCACAGACTCTTTGACTCTCACCATCTGCATTATATGCAAAAAGGTGCACTTCATACCATGATTTGGGAGCTGACAATGAAAAATAATAATTTATTTACTACCAACATAAACAACACTAAACAGCTAATACTAGCTACATGGTAAAAAAATAGGATGATCTTTGCAATATGGTAACAGGTAGTTTGGCGACATTTTAGAGGTGATAAAGGTTACTACCTAGGACTTTGGGAATAATGTGAGAAGTACTCAGTTCCGATTACGCATTATTTTGTGTGAGGGAAATGATAGATTATGAGATATGTCATGTGACATTAATGGACGAATCACTGTTCTTTAATCGGAAAAGGGGGTAAATTTGTAAAAATATCTGCTGTACAGCATTAGTTTCATTCTATGTTCTGTGAAACAGTGTTGTTTAATATTTGGATCCCATGGCCCTATATAAAGTAAATCCTAAATTTTTATTGCTTTTATGTGCAATTGAAAAGAATTGCTTAATTGTGGATAAGTATGAGTGTCCAACATGTGGGTATGAAATGAGATTGTGTGAAAGGAAGGATATTACAGATAAGTTAGAATGGTGGTGCAAGAAATCTGGTGAAAATGGACATTTTGTGATCCACCATGCACTCAAGATTCTGTAGAAGATTAGGTTAGTATTTTTAATTATTTGAGGATATTATATTTATGTATTGTTCTAAATGTAAGGAGTAAATAAATTAATATGGTATCATTGGAAAATTGTTATTAGCAATGATTTAGTTTAAAGTAATTAGAATTTTAAGCTAATTTTTATTAATTTAATGTATGTGCTTATTTATATTTTAAGTAGTGTTTTTTAATTTAATGATCGTGATTTTGAGAGTTATATGTTTGTAGTATTTTGGAATAAGTTTGAGTAGAAGTAAATGTGCATGGAAAGAATTTAAGTAGTTGACACTAAGTATTTGGAATCATTTTTAATGTTTGCGTTAGAAATTGGCAGGTGAGGTTTATAATAGATAATTTAGAGGGAAAAGTTTTCAGATATTTTATTTATTTCATACGTGCAAATGTTCATCTTTGGAAAGGGTATATACTTTTTCGTGATCAGGTAATTTCATATATGTCCTTTTTACCGAATTTAAAGATTCACAAAATTTTCATGCATTTTTGTGAAATTTTTCTAATTTATGAGAAAAAAGCAGTGTACATGGATATAGTGAAGAGTGTGCGCAATGCCATTTTTGTGCAATTCTGGGATGTTTTTTTAAGTAAAAATAAGTCGACCTGTACATGGTTTAATTATATTTTAATTAAATGATAGTTATTTTGTGAATTATATGTTTGTAGCAATTTGGTATACGTTTGAGTGGATGTAAACGTGCATGGAAATAATTTAAATATTTGACACTAAGTATTTGTAACCATTTTTAATGTTTTGTTATGAATTCGTTGGTTACGTTTATAATAGATAATAAAAGTTTTTGGATATTTTATTTATATTATACGTGGAAATGTTCATCCTTGGATAGGGTATATACTTTTTCGCGATCAGGTAATTTCATATATGTGCTTTTTACCGAGTTTAAAGATTCACAACATTTTCGTGTAAATTTTTGTAATTTATGAGAAAATAGCAGTTTAGATGGATAAAGTCAAGAGTGTGCACAGTGCCATTTTTGTGCAATTCTGGGATTTTTTTTAAGTAAAAATAAGTCGACATGTACATGGTTACTGTGTATGTGCGATTTTGAAAAATGCGGCAAGGAGTTTGCGATTCTGCACTTTTTCCCAATTTTGCAGTTAATATTTGTCATGATTAAGCAGTTTTGTTCCATAAAATTTCTAGCATAAGTGTGATTCGGCTAGCAGATTGTTGGAAAAAGTGTTGAGTGTTGAGTAAATAAAAAGAAAAGAAATATGTCTTTACTTAGTGAAGACAAAATGGTGGCGAAAAAAAAAAATAGAGGGTTGCTGTAGCAGAGTTGGTCGCCAAATTTCCATAATCCAAAGATCAACCAAAAATATATATAGGTAAAATATTTATCTTTCAAATAATAAATTAATAACAGCCCTTTAACTTCTGTCTTCATTCTAACAATAACACAGTAATCATTTTTCTAATTAAGCTCCCTGCAGTTATGATGCACACTTATCACTGAACCCAACATCTGAACATAAGAAATGGAATCCTGGAATCCGTATAAAATGTCACAACTCCCCCCCTCTCTTCACTCTTCTGCTTCTTTTTGCTGTGTTGCCTTGTCTCTAGTCACGCAGAATTTACTTTTCCAATTTTGTCCATGGTTTAAGGAATGTAAGCTATATAAAATTGTAGGTGCATAGCACACCCATATCGATGATGTGGATTATCCAGGAATAAAATTATGTGTAGAATTTACTGCCAAGTCTGTTTTTGAGTGTTATCTTTCTAATTAATATGTAATAATATATATATATATATATAGGTACAAATTCATATATATATATATATATATATATAGGGTTGGAGGGAAAGTTCTATCGTATTTTAAAGAAAATATTTGAATTCATTTATAAAAATATGTGTTTAATATTAATCAATTATATATGCTCCATTATTTGTTACAACCTGTTGCCATCTTCCAGGTAACCTGTAAATTCCTGTTTTGTAGAAGTTCTCATCCATGGAGTTAAAATAGTCAGCAACTGCCTTAGAAACACTTTCAAAAGACTTAAATTTTTTTCCCGTTAGATAATTTTGCAGAGATCTGAACAGGTAATAATCAGAGGGTGCAATGTCAGGTGAATACGGGGGGTGACTAAGGATTTCCCTTCCTAACGCATTCAGTTTTTGTAGTGTCACCACTGCAGTATGCGGGCGAGCATTATCGTGATGGAACACTATTCCTTTTCTGGATGCTAATGCTGGCCTTTTTTTCTTTGATAGCTGCATTCAATTTATCCAGCTGATTGCAGTACAGATCCGCGTTGATGTTTTTTCCCTGTTTCAGCAACTCGTAATACACTGGACCTTTCCTGTCCCACCACAAACAAAGCAGTACTTTTCGTTGATGGATACTTGGTTTTGGAACTGTTGCTGATGATGTTCCTGGTTTGCAGTAAGATTTTTTTTCTTTTAATATTCTCGTAAAGAATCCACTTTTCATCCCCAGTAACCAGCCTGTCCAAAAACGGCTCCACATTGTGTCTAATCAGATGTGATGAACATATTCTTACACGATCAGACAAATTCTTTTCCGTTAATTCATGTGGAACCCAAACACTTTGCTTTAACACAAACCCAAGAGATTTAATGTGATCTCCAACAGTTGTATGATGAATGCCAAACTCTTCTGCAATTTCTCGACTTGTTAAATGTGGATTATTTTCCAACATGGATCGCAAAACATCATTATAGATCTTGGATGATCGTCCAGATCGAACACTTTCTTTGAGGCTTAGGTCCCCAGAACGAAATTTGCTAAACCATCTTTGACAAGTACGAACATTTACAATATCTTTTCCAAATACCGCACATAAATTTTTACATGCAACAGATGCGTTGCTTCCTTTTTGGAATTCATATAAAATGCAGTGTCGTAAATGCACTTTATCTACGGACATGCTTTTTTCTTTAAATATTACAAGTAAATGATGAATGAAGGGTAAAAAAGGGCACCTTTTATATTATACAGCAGCTAAAAAAAAAAATCGGATTGACTTACTAGCCAGATGTTTTTTTTATTTACAAGAAAAATCACCTGCCTATTTAAAATACAATGCCAAAAAGCCATTAAGTGTGTTATGTGCAGAACAAAGTATTTATTAACAAGAATGTTCAAGAACAAAATGCAAGGCTCACCCTCAGGACATGATATACTTCATTCAAACAAACAACATTCATTGCTATTTCTTGTTTCACTGCATTGTGGATTGTAACATAATAAATTATTATTTTAGATGAGGGAAATAATCAAAGGAAACTAATATATATATATATATATATATATAATTATTATACAGTCAAAAGTTGTTAATTCGGACACTCATAATCCGGACCTCAAAGCTACAAATTTTCTGCGCATGCGTCGCGTTGACCGTCGCGTTTCTGCGCATGCGTAAGACCTTTACCGCTGCGAATTTGCGTGCGCAAAATACGTTTACGAATGCGCGTTTAATGTATAACGGACGGGATAAGCTAAGCTAAAATTATCTAATTATCTATTTCAGTTACTGTTACAGATTGCGTTGTTCCTTAATCTTCGAATTGGATCCGGATTATTATTTTTTGCAGACTGTTAGAGCAATTTTATAAAAGTAAGCTTGAACTTTCGATTATGTCAAATAGAATTTTCGATATATATTTACTAATATGTAAAGGATATACAAAGCGAAAGTATCTTTTGGTGTCCATTAAACAAAAAGTGGTATTGCTGCAAAAAATGGATAAAGGCCATATCCTTTGTTTATCTAAACTTTAACGTTTGTTTATCTAAACTTTGTTTATCTTTAACGGGGTGGCAGTGTGCATTGAATTGGAAGTTGATCTGTCAGCACTATCCTTATCTTAAGGGCAGATGTTTTTATTTTATTTGGCTTATAATTGCTTACTCAATGTAGTATTTCATCTGGTCTTTGATATGATTTAAATCAAATGCCTCATCTCGCTTCCGATAGCGAAGAAAGTAACAGAGGTTATTGAAAACGAAAAAATTTCGATTGACAAATTAGTCGGTATTCTCGACACAGCAATTATAGGACTTGAACAGCGGAACTTTGTAACTGAACAAGAAATTATGTCTGTTTATAAAATTAAAGAGAATGTATTATAACATAAAAAACAAAGCAACTTAAACAACTTACATTGAAAGAAATGTTTAATAAAGTAAACAAATAAATATTAAGCTTTTTTTTTTTTTGTAAATTTTGATACCCTTTAGATCATAATTGTTCTTTATTTCGTAAATTACGGTTTCATATTTTTAATTTTATAATTTCTGCATGCCATTTTACCAGATTTAAACTGATGATCTATAATCCGGAATCGCCGAAGTCCCGACGAGTCCGGATTAACGACTTTTGACTGTATAATAAACATTTTATTATAATTCTGGGAAATATCTTAAAATTCAGTAGTACCTAGGATTATATTTACTTCAGAGGAATGGCCCATTTTGTTTCTTAGACATGATTTTAGAAGAATGCTTGTTATTTCACTGCTTTCCCCCTGCTTTAAAAAAATCCATTTCAAAATTGGGCAAAAATAACAGTTGGATTGTTACTGGCTTTAAAAAATTTTGTTGATTTTGCTGGAGTTGGACAATGGGGTCTCTTATTTCACAAGAAGGAGAAAAGGAGCATTCTGCACTCGGAGAAATAAAAATACCATTTTATTAGGTGAAATGAAATTTATTAGGTGAAAGCTTTTAAAATTCTCATCCCTTAGTTTTTGAAATTTTAATTATAAACTCTGCCTACAAATATTATTGAAATGCGGGTTTCTTAAACTTCTTTCAGTCGAGACCCGCTTTTATCACTGAGATTTTTTCGTGACCCTCCAGGACCCCATAATATTTACAAAAATTTTGTGGGACCCCATAAGTATTGCACAAATCCGACACACGCGTGAGTAAAAAATGCAAATTTTTTCACTTGTACTGTAATATACTAGTCCAGTTTAAGGTAATTACTTTAATTTCTAATTTTAATACATAGAATAATGTGAAAATTTTAAATAATTAACAGACGAAATGACAGCATCATGTGCAAAGCAAGGAAAATGAACGTTTATATTATAAAAAGAATGCATCGAAACATTTTCGTTTTTTCCCCCTTTATCTGTAATGTCTTATCTTTATCTATTTTCAGATAAATTGTGTAAAAATATTTGGCGATTGTAAAATTATTATAATAAGAAACATCAGAACTGCTAAAATTTCTGGCGACACCCTGCTGCAGGTCACGCGGCCCCTAAGAAGGTCGAGACCCACAGTTTAAAAAACCGTGCTGTAATGGATCGTATTTCAGAAGTGTCAGTTATAATTCTCAGAAACATCTTTCTGACACTTCGCTCTTTCAGTTCAACAGTTTACTCACAGAAATGTCATAATCACAATTTCCTGAAAAGCCTCACAAGATAATTTTCTCTATTCATATGAAGCAAAATGGGCTTTGTCCCATCATAAGGAGCTGGGACCATCTATATAGTTCCCTTCACCAAAATTCATTTTCCACCCACAAAGAATTAATGAAAGGCAAATATAATCCCAGAGCTGAAGATGAAGATAAAAAAATTCTGAGACAACTAGTTCTTGGAAGTATTTCGCACATGGGTAAAAATGAACGGATTACATTAAACGGATGAAATACCTAGCATGACAGAGTTATTTCAATCCCAGGTGGAATATGTCACTGAATCTGAAATGATACATCTAATGCTGATTAGATTTTAAAAAGAACTAGATAATCATCAGCACATACATTAGCAAGATTTCATGAGGCATTAGCATTTCCACCGAGACTAGATATATGTTTGCACATATGCCTTGCAAACTTCATCACCATATTCATGAAATTATGCTTGATTTTCTAACCCAGAGCTCATCTATTTGTGTGCTGATATTATAACATCAGCTTATCTTCAGGTGATGTTCAGTAACAAGAGCCATTACACTGGTCATTTAACATAATGGAATTATCAGCAAATGGAATTGATTCGGGCAGCCCTGATTCATAATGAGTGTTATGCCCTGGATTAAAACAAATGTCTGGGATTTTTAAATAAGTAATTATAAAAGTTGAAAAAGAAATTACAAATTTATTCAAGAAGGGAGGATACACAAAGCCACAGTAAGGTTTTTACCAAAATGTAGGTATTTTTTGAATAAAATCGAGTAATTTTCAGTACTCTGGAGAGTAATTTTATTTAGAAAATGCTTGCAATCTCTTTTTTAATATTTTACTTTGGAAGCTCCTTGAATTATCCTTACCAATTTTTATTTATCACAGGGAATATGGTTGCACATCTTAAAAATCACAAGCATTTTTAATACTGAAATTAATTATTCATAAAATATCTTGCATCAACTTTTCTAGAATACAGTAATAATACATTTAGTACCTTTTTATGTTTGAAACTCGAAAGGATGGACACACATTTTCATTCACTTGCAGTATACTCATCACGAAAGACACAGATACCTCAATGCTTGAGCTCAAAATTCACTTTTAGCTTAATAGTTCAAGGTATTACACCATGGTTTTAAAAGCACTAACAGATTAACAGTGAACATTAACCTCTGCTAATGTCATCTATCAGCAAACACTAATTAACTGTCATTAATAACTCCAAACAGTGTTCTCTAATAACAACTGGGTGAAATACAAATAGTGCCATTAAAGAAACTATGTCATGTAGCAACAATACCTCAGTCATGCATTTCTGTGCTAAATGCATTACTGTTTATACTTACTAGCTTCTCATTTATATCTCATTTTAGATTAAAAATGAAATATTATCTTGCACACATTAAAACTTGTTGATCACTTAGCAGACACTATTTAACCCCCCCCCCCGAAAAAAAACAACAACTCCCTCTTACCAAGATCATACAGCAGGAACTTGGTTGTGTTGGCAGGTAAAGTAATACGATCCTTTAAAGGGCGATTCTGTTGCCTGTATGAGAGATAAAACCCATTTACAGGATATGGATTATCAGGTGGCATATTCCATTCAATTTCAAGAGCTGTGGTGTTTAAAACAGTCAGATGCAATGTTGGTGGGTAAGGGACTGGAAAAATAGATGCATAGGAAGTATAATGCAACTACATTATGTTATGCAGATAAAATTCAACACTATCATTTCTATAATATACTGCAAAATCAAACTATAATAGTTACATTACATTACTTTCCTGATTTCAGACAAGCCTCCTCCCCGATTGTTTATACAGAAAGTTAAATTACTATACAAAAGAGAAATTGTAGGCAGTGACTGTACAATCAAGAAAGTAATTATGCATAAAGTGAACATTACTATCTAGGCAAAATGATTCTTCACCCCTGAGACTATGATATTCCCCTTTATGGGAAATTCTAAAACATTTGAAAACTTTTGGTTTACATAAAATACTATAAGATTAATTAATATTTCTTCTAGGTAAAGGGATTAATTTTCTGCGTGAATAACATATTTCACACTGCAAAGACACAAATTTGCATTAGCTTTCAAATGCTAAATTGGAATACCTCTTTCTTTATTTTTATTTTGCTTTTTCCCTTAACAATTAGAGATGTTTAATTTCTTTCGAATTGGTATGTAGTGTTATTTCACAATCCTATAATATGCTTATTTAGCAAATAAATTACTATTATTTAGGCTAAAATAACATACTGAATAACGATTATTGGACAAGTTAAACAACAAGAATAAGCATAATGTTTGTAAATTTTGCTGGACTAGTTTCGATAGTTTAAATACAGAGTTGCTTAAGTATACATGAGTGAGATAGGATACGGTAATAAGATGACTGGACACAAGTGAAACTACTGGCACCACCTATTGATGAAATAAGAAATCTGAAACATAATGTCCTTAAGGGCTGAGGGTAAAGATGATTCTGAGGGTCGTTAACTAGAACGGAGAGATTTTTTTTTAATGTGAAATGTTTCTAGAAAATCTAATCTACCAATGGAAGATTTTTTTAAATAATTTTTGCCGCAGAAAAACGGAAAGTGCGATTTTCTGACCAACAGCACTGAGCGAGAGACTATTTTTGTTTCCTTTTTTCAAACATATGCAGAAGGTGGTTCTGTATTTAAAGCATTGAAACTAGTTCTGCGAAATTTACAAACATTATGCTCATTCTTGTTGTTTAACTTGACCAATAAATTACTAATATATTTAATAAGAATAAAAAAATGTTTCTATACCTTTGTCACACTCATGATACCAAAATTAAAATTTTTTTATTCTTTTGGATCATGTAATTTTGACTATGCCTTGGCTGTTTCTGACCATGATATTTCTGATAAAATGTAAGTCTATTACTCTGAGGTCAAATCATTCTTTACCCGATAGCATGATATTCCCCTTTATGGGAAATTCTGTAACATTTGAAAACTTTTGATTTTATAAAATACCATATGAATAATTAGTGTTTCTTCTAAATAAAAGGATTAATTTTCCAACTGAATAGCATATTTCACACTGCAAAGATATAACTTTACATCAGCTTTCAAATGCCAAACTGCAATTCTTTCTTCTTTATTTATTTTTCTTCTTCCCTTAATAATTTGTAATGCTTAATTTCTTTTGAATTAGTATGTAAAGTTATTTCACTACCTTCTGAAATAAGGAAATTATAAATATACATCACTCATAATCAATGCATTAACTCAATTACACATTATTTTTAATTATTCAAAAACATATATCTTGCCATTAAATAAATGCATAAATAAATGCCATTAAATAATGCACATTAATCTTTCCATTTCTATTATTGAACTGTTAATGTAATTCAAAAAAGGAATTTCTTATGAGCATGATAACTAGAATTTGTGACAAAATGTGTAAAGACATTGCATTAATATAGCACTAAACCTATAACTTTCTAACCAAAAGACAGATAATTTTAATATATTGCTATTAAATATACTAATGTATCATATTTAATTTATTTCTCAATTACTACTGCAGGTAGAAATACTACCTGCAGTAGTATTTAAAAAATACTACTGCAGGTAGTCCTAGGTAGCTGTCTATCCTAAGTAAAGGCATATAGGCAGGCATTTCAAATTTACTAGCATACAACTTTAAAAACATCTAGCCATTATTAATTAACCTTGCTGGCAGAGTCGCATTGTTCTCATAATACAGAGCACACCACTTAACAATATTTTTCAAAGTAGGATAATCCTTTTATCGTACACAGAAATAAATACAAATAAACATGGTCAGTGTTTTGGATTCACAAAACATGCCTCATTTCTTCTATGCAATGCCAATCTGCCATCTCCCAGATATACCTGCTGTGATGCAAGACATAATATCCAGCCTAACGTTCACAATCTTCTGATAAATAAAATAGCATTTTTAAAGAAATTCTTCTGGATTAATTTTAATGACAATTACTATGTGATTGAAAAATTGAACATCAAACTATTAAAATAATAAAAAATAAATAAAAATAAAAAAGAAGAAGAAAGAAAAGAAAAATGACCCTCCATAGAAAATGCCCATTCTTTTTCACTTTGATGGCATCCAGTGGCTTTTATTTTAATTCCTCCTACAGCAAAACTTTAGGCAGCATTTAAAGCTCAAATTTTTATTCACACTCTACCTGACAAACCTCAGAAATATAATTGCTCATGAAATTTGGATGTTATGCTGAACACTTATGGTATTATCCCTGGGAGATGGCAGCAATGCCTTGACTACTACAGAGAGCATCTACAAGAGGTTGTATCGAAGAAGTAAGGCCTGTTCTTTGTATCCAAGACACAGACCTACCTAAGCCTTTCCAGCAATGTTTATTGCTGTGAAAAATAAGTATTTTGAAAATGAGGTGATGTCAAATACTGCACTCACTATAAAATTGAATAAAAAGCTCTTTTCATAAGAATAATATAATTTTTCATCTTTTTTTCATTCCCAGATATAACTATCTTTTAAATTCAATTATAATTGCATGCTTACTTAAGCATGCTTATTTATTATTAATAACCATTTATATTTTGCATTTACTTCTCATATTCATACTAAACTAAGAAACATGCACTACCTTTTGAAGTTGCAACATCTGGCATTTCATATACTACCCATGGCCACTGTTCATCAGAAAGTACAGGAAAACCCACTTTTGTGCCACTAATAACTCTAACATCATACTTCTGTTTTGGCTGCAGACCTGCAAAGAATACAGTTTTATTACCAGACTACTTCAAAAGAAAAACTCACTCGCAACAACAGTAGTAATATCAGTGATTTACATTTAAAAATTTAAATCACATTAGAAAAAAAATGTCATTAAAATATACAGTTTAAACAGAACAGACAAGAGTAAAAATAACTTGCATATCTAATTTTTAGTTTGCACTTCTTTTATATGTGCTGATGATCAAATTCATAAAGATTATTATTTAAAGAACTGTTCCTAAACTGTGAGCTATGTGTTTTTAGACTTACACTACTGATGCCATGATAAGAAAGCCGTCTAACTGAATATATCATATCAACTGTTTTAAAAATTACTTCCAAAGACGACAATGCAATAAATTTGAATGAATTCAATGCTTCTTTAAAGCTGCAACTAATTAATTTTTTTAGAAGTAAATACTAAATTACCTTAGGATAATATTTTAAAGATAAAATCTGAATAGCTGGTAGCTGACTAACCTTTACATAAAACAGGAAGAGGAATAATCCATGCTTAACATCGTGTTTGTGCAAAGCTGGATTTTCTATAACTACTATGATCAAAAGAATATACTAAGAGAGAAATAAATGAAGAACAGGAAACAAGACAAGTTATATCTAGTTGATTCAAAATTTCAATGATTGCAATTTAAAACCTTCCGTTAAATGATTATTCAAAATATGCACATATTTTGTGTATTTTATATAAATAGTTTGCGAATTTGAAAGCCGTGCTTTTTTTTTTTTTTTTTTTTTTACCTTAACTAACTTAACCAAATCAACTGTGCACTCTACTTGTTAGGTAGGCACATGTTCCGACTTCAGCCACTTTGGAAAAAATCTGATAACACAAAGGACACCATGAACCAAAAATGTCTGGAAACCGCTAATCAAAGCATACAATAACACAGACAATTAGAAACACACAGCTTTCTTTAGCATAACCGTTGAGCAACAAACTTACTCAAATTTAACAACTGAAAATTAGTTGCCACTCTTATAATTATTACTTACATTTTTTTTCTTAATTAGTGAAACTGAACACAAATGATTATTAGTTTTTCATATATTTATCTATCTTTCCATCAAAAGTAATCCTTTACCCTAACATAATCTGTTAAATAATAATATCAAATACCATTTTCAAATCTTACAATGAAAGTTAACCATCACACTGTACATCTAAGAATTAACTTTTGAGACCACTGAGATTTCAAGTACCCTTTTTTAAAACATCCCTCACATAACATTATTGAGATTTCTAAACCTGTGCATAAAGGAGGCATCTAAATCTAACTTGGGAGTTGCATGGAATCTCACTATGGTTTTTTTTTTAGATTGCATCAGTGCACCTGAAAAACATCACCCATACTTCAGCTTAACCCTCTCGCTGCGCATCCCGCAATTTCCACGGGCAACGTAGAAGTAGCAAAGCGTTTTTGCCGCCTATTTAAGTGTGCAACCCGCTCTTTCCCCGTTTATGGTTTCATTTCGGCTTTTCTGTAATGTTTATTTGTTTATTTAGATGTCGACTAACAGATGGCGTTAGTTGTACACGTTTCTGCGAAATATAAAAAGAATTTTTTTTAGCATTTTGCGCGCACTTTTCAGAGCTCAAAGATGTCTGGCAGGAAGCGTTTCGTGAGTGATATGACCTATGTTCCTGACGATATTTCCGACACTGACAGTAGTTCTGACTCTGATTCCGAGTATATTGATGATATTTATAGCGGAACTGATGAAAATTTCTCGGATTCCTCTGTGGATAGTGATGAATCTGAAAATTCATTTTCTATTCAAAATGCCCGACAGTGGTGCAAAATTGATATGCAAAATATTCCACCAGCTCCTGCTTCATTTCCTTTTATTGGCAATCCCGGACCAAATTTCACTACGGCAGATGATGCAACTGTTTTGGATTATTTGACTTTTTTTTGACGATGTTATGTTGCAAATAATAGTAAAGAGACCAACAGATTACACGTCAGCAGTTATGAATAAGGCAGTTCCTAAAGAAAGATCAAGGTGAAAAAATTGGACAGTACGGATGAGAAAGAATTCGATTATTCTTTTCCGTTTTGTTTCTCCAAGGAATTGTAAAAAAGCCTAAACAAGAATATTATTGGTCCAAACGTCACATATTGCAAACACCTATTTTTCAACAAGTAATTCAGAAAGATAGATTTATTTTGCTGATGAAGTTCCTTCATTTTACAAATAACGAAGAGTTTGATAAGGATAATCATCCATGGCCAAAATTAAATAAAATTTATGACATCATGGAGCATCTTCGAAACAAATTTCGAAATCTTTATATACCAGATAAAAATCTCAGCATAGACGAGAGTTTGATGCGCTTCAAAGGCAGACTGAGCTGGAAAATGTTCACTGCGAAAAAAAGAGCAAGATTTGGCCTTAAGTTTTTTGTGGTCTGCTAAGTGGGAACTGGATATATTGCAGACTTTCTCATATACACAGGTAATGGAACTGTGTATAACCTGAATTTTGCAAATTATCCAGTTTCCACTAAAATTGTTCTGTACCTGATGGACAGATTCCTGGGCCAAGGTTACTGTGTAACCATGGACAATTACTACATGTCTCCAAAGTTAGCAGACATTTTAATTTCAGAAAGAACAGACTTATATGGAACTGTAAATAAGATGAGGAAAGACCTTCCTCCAAATTTTGCAAAAGAAAAAATCCCTAAAGGTGACGTCCTTGCTTACCAAAGGGGTAAAGTTATGCCTCTGAAGTGGCAAGATAAAAAAAGTGTTTTTCTTATAAGTACAGTTCATAATGCAAGTTCCCGTTTGGTGAAATGCAAATCAAAGAAAACTGTACTCAAACCAATTGTTGTTTGTGATTACAACAACATGATGGGTGGGGTTGATTTATGTGACCAAGAAATGTGATATTACCCCACTTTCAGAAAACAACAAGGGAAATATTATATAAAAATTTTCCGACAATTCATGGACCAATCACTGTGGAATGCTTATATCCTTTATAAAAAGGATAACCCATTACAAAATATAACGCTTCTAGATTTCCGTTTGCAAATTATTGAACTAAGCATTCAGAAGTATTCAGATAGAAATTCCAGTGTTCCAACTCTCAATCACATGAGGCTAACTGCTCGACATTTTGCTAGCCATATACCCCCAAATCCCATCAAGAAAGAGCCTCGTAGACAGTGTGCTGTCTGTTGTTAAAAAAAAAAAAAAAAAAAAAAAAAAAAAAAAAAAAAAAAAAACGGAAAGCGGAAAAAAAATTTGAAAAGAAACGCGAATTTGGTGCAAAGATTGCGAGGTCGGACTTGCCTCGAGCCTTGTTTCGAAATTTATCATACAAAACTTCATTTCTAATAAATGTTTTGTAAGTATTTTGCATATTTTCATTAGTATATACTTTTTACCTTTGTATTTTATAAAATAAATCATAATTTAACCAAAATTGATTTTCAAAATTTTGCTTTTTATCATTATTCTTCAATTTCAATATTCTGACAACTTTTTTCTATGATCTAATTCTATATTGAAAAAAACCTCTTTTACAAAAAATTTTTGTATATTTTAAGTCTAAAATATATGTAGATTTGAAATATGTAATAAAAAATACGCAATTTTTGAACCTATTTTGATAAAAAAAAAATACGCAGCGAGAGGGTTAAAAATGGTAAAATTTTCTGTGTAATTTTTATAATGTTTACATAAATTAATTTTTGCCTTATAAAAAGACACTATTTACATTTTCATGGTTAATTACAGTGATGGCATCATCTATTGATCGATATCATGAATAGCAAAAGTGCTCATAGGTCGCTACTATTTTATCAACAGATAGTTTGCACTGGCTATGCAGAACATGGACCAGTGGACTATACAAATGCAATAATAGCAAGTTGTAAGTTCAGATCCAAAATATATGTGTCCTTTTTGCAAGCAAGCCAGATTACTACATAGCCCTCGCAATCTATTTTTTTTCTTTTTTAAGTAGTACATAGACTTATTTTTAAATCTTGTTCGCAATCAAAGGTTAAAAAAAAATATGAGGCATATAACATGCAGTAGCATAGCTAGAGCTTTTCCTACCTCTCTCAATGCAACACACACACACACAAAATCAAATCAATAAAGTGCCACAGTTTAGAAAAGTAACCTGAAGCTCTGAGTTACTTTTCGAAATAAAACTTGGATTCCAGCATTATAAAGGACTATTTCTTATTTATAGCAAATCTTGTCAAAGATATTCTAGATGTTTGTTTCATCATTCCTGTTGTTTCTTCTTAGTTATGTTTTCTATCACAAATTGGATTTCATGATTCTTCACCTCATAGTGTCCAAGTGGATAAGATGGTCAGATACTAATAATTCAATCTGAGATCAAATCCCAAAGAAGAGACAGTTGCTGTATGTGATTTATATATGCATAAAGCAAAGTATTTGCCATTCTGTTCACACATGCATGATGTGAAAATGAACCAATGCCCCTTTTGTAATCTGAATATAACTCAATTCCCATTTTTTAAGCCCTTCGTGGAGAATTTGACTTCCACGAAGACATTCCCTTTCTTAGACACTATTAGACAGATAATCGCATTTAACTTTGCTATAATCCAGAAAATCTCAATTAGTATTTTTTTTTTTTTTTTTTTTTGGCTCAGTAGATCAATTTGACTAAGCTCTCTAATAATGTTTCATGTGAAAAATGGCAGGCCTAAAAAAATGGTACCTGGGCAGATAGCCACCTCTAGCTATGCCACTGAAAGCATGTACAGAAAATCGAAGACAGAAGGAAAAATATAAACTTAAAACATTATATGTTTTAAATATAATGTTTGTCCTTGCAACATTTCAGACTTTTCCTCCACATTTAACTAAATTAATACTGGTATCAAATGAACTGATAAAAACTGTTTCTAAGTATTTACAAGAAAAGAAGAATCACATGGTTTTTATTTCAATCAAATGCTAGGTACAACAATGCTATGTACAACCTAGCATTTCAATCAAATGCTAGGTTACCTTAGACAACAGAAAAACAATAAATGCTACGACAGTCTCAAAACTCCCAAGTAGCACAGCAACATCATTCGTCGCGGATGTCATTGCAAGAAAAACGTCTTTAAGACGCCCAGATGTCCGCGAACATCTGTTTTGCAAATGTCTTTATTACATCTTTGCAGATGAGGTTTTTCTCGCACAGACGTCATTATTGCGTCTTTCGCAGGTGGTATTTTGGTTAACGTCTTAAAGACACTTAAATGCTCGCCAAATTCCACTTCTTTGCAACAGTTGTGAAAATGTCATTATTATGTCCTTGTGTTACATTTTGATTTATGCGGAAAAATAAGCTTAATAATTAATATATTTTTCTTCTTTTTTTAAATTTTGTATTCCTTGTATTTATCTAAAGTTTAAATAATTTATCATGTAATGAAAATCAGAAGATAATACAATTTTTTCTCTTTAGACTAAATATGCATAATTAATAATAGCTTTAATTAGTTTCAGCACTTTAAACTATATTTTTAAAATAACTTAAATTAAGTTACGATTATTTAAGATTTCACAATTTTTTCCCTTAAGTGAGAGTAATTATAAAAGTGGTTATTACAAATATATAACATTAATAGTAGGTTTTAAGTCAATAAAACTCAATTAGACATAAATAAAAGTAAAGCTATATATGTGGGTTAAAAAAAAGAAATGTTTCTGATTATAGCAGCATTTTCACATTTATTTCTGTTAAATCTCAGAGACATTGAAAATTGCCCCTATCATGATAAATTAGGAGGCAGTTTTTAAGGTAACTTAATCAGTATTTTATCTGAACTCAAGTATAAATTTATTTGCCTTTCATAGCAAAAACTATAACCATTAGCTTCTATATCTCCTTGCACCTTTACCAAATTACTTGAAAGAACTGCTGGAATCTTTCCGTTCCGTTTACTGCTGTTCACCACTCAGCTAGAAAGTCTAGCTTTCAAGTAACTGCGCAGTTAAATTCTTCGAACTTGAACTTCAAATCTGGCAGCTAGCGAAAGGGCGCAAAACCTCGAGAATGTTCATTTATTAAGCATCCAATAAAGTAAATAATGTACATGGAATGTCACCAGTTGAAGAGCAATGTACAATTTCTCTAAATTTTATGCCAACATTTATTAGTAATTTATCAAATCCATTAATTTTGTTGTTTTCCATGAAAAGTGTTAATATTTCTTTCTCTTTTTCCATTAATTTTTTTCCTACTGTCACCATATTAATTCAAATAAATTCGTCCTTACTTCAAAAATAATAAATAAAGTCATATTTCAGTAGTGAAGTGATTGCTAACATGTGATTGGCATTGATTTCGGAAACATGATTTTTTAAAATATATAAAATACATAACTTAATAACTTACTTTATAGATTAGTTTCATTTTTAAATATTTTGCTATAATATTTATATAAAATATTTTTAAGTATTAATTATTTTAACAAAATTTTAAATAATTATTTAGCACGTACTTTTAGTACTAATTAAATTTAATACTTCAAGAGTATTTATATTAAATTTATATTTCATTACATGAATCTACCTTAGTATAACATATTTAGATGAAATAAAGTAACGAAACATTGCAAGGTAAATCTTATGCGGACTTCAGATTCTTGAAAGGCCAGATTTAGTCTCTTTTTATTCTAGAAATAACACTAATGAATTATGAGAAAATTGCTAAAATGACCACGTTTAAAAGAGGTCATATCATAACATTTCAGCAATGACGTCAAATTGCCAAGATGCAATGGCAAATATTTTGCGTCGTCGCAACGTTGTAAAGACATCGTACAAGTTACCCCGACCACTTTGCAACGACGTGTGCTACTTGGTCTGTGTCTTGCATGAGTTAATTATCCCAGTTGGGAATGCAGAAGAAACAAATCTTTAAAAACTTGAAAAGAGCTATTTTAATGAACATATCAAAAAATATTAATTAATAAATTACAGATAAATTATATTAAAAATATTAATTAAGAAATTACAGATGAAAAATCCTCATCCTCATGGTCTAACAGTCTACAGTATGTGTAAAGATAACATAAATTTATATGCACCCAAAACTTCCCGAAATTCATTTTACTGTAATGGAACAGGAATTAAGATTATGAACTATGCAATTTTTTTTAAAACTTTTAATGAAATATCCTAAAAATTTCAAGAAAAGTTTTGCCAGTTTCCACAAAGTATGAATAAAGTAAATTAATTCAACATACTTTTTACACTTAAAAATCAACATACTTACACCCACAGAACAATAAAATAAAATAAACTTTAAATCTAACATTTAAATTTTTTTAGATTTCATTATGTTTTTAAATACTGTCAGCAAAAGATTTTGAATGAAACAGAAATTTATAATTTGAAAGCAATATTATGGTGAGGAATAAGAATGTAAACGCATAGACTGACAATTTCTGTACGATCAATATTAATTGGTATTTAACTATTGTAAATTTATTCTAACTGGGAAATACAAAAGAAATTAAATTGGGAAATACAATAGTCTTACCATCCAACCTAATTCCACAGATGCTGCCTTGTTAAGTGCACCATTGTAACAATATCTCGGATACTGTACTTCAGACTAGAACATATACGTATACATGATATTACAGAATTTTTTTTTTTTTACTACAAACTATTTATCTCTTAAAAATTTCCCCTTTAAAGTTTGACTATAAACAATATTTGCTATCCAGCAATCATCTTCAACAGCTTTGTGAAAAAGGATCATGATTGGCTAATTCCTTATAAGTAATTTTGTTGTAGTTTATTGTTCATAATACTTTTTTTATTACCATATGTTTTCTGTTTGACAAAATTTTTATTTCTTTTCATGGTGGTTGCTAAGAATCTTTAACCTTTTTTTCAAATACATTATAGGGAACAAAAAACCATTAATAGCAACAGAACTTCTAGAAACTAAATCTTCCATATCATATGGAAGCTTGCAATAAGAAAGTATAAAATTCATCTAAGTGTTTCAAACACAACTAGTGAAAAATGTTACACACTAGTCATCAAAACATTTATTCACGAAAACAAACATTTATTTTGCAAATCATTTCATATACAGTAAAAAGTCCGTAATCCAGACATCCATTATCCAAAATGATCTATTCAGGACCTCAAAGCCACAAACTTTTTTTTTTGTATACTTTACGCATGTATAACAGACGGAATAATCTAGGCTAAAATTATCTTTACTGATTCTAAGGCATTTCAGTTAATGTTGCAGATTGTGCTGTTTTTTAATCTTCTAATTGGATCCGACTTATTATTTTTTGCAGACTATTAGAGCAATTTTATAAAAATTAAGCTTGAACTTTCGATTATGTCAAAAAGAGTTTTCAATTCTGGAGCTGCTAAAGGATCTACAAAGTGAAAGCATGTTTCGATAACCATCATCGATAACCATCAAACAAAAAGTGGAATTCCTGTAAAAAATGGATAAAGGCATATCCGTCTCAAAATTATATGAGGATTATGACATTGGAAAGTCAACTGTATATGACATAAACAAAAAGAAAAAGGAACTTTTTGAATTTTTTGTGTAGTCTGACACCCCACTTGCAATGAATAATAGAAAAAGGGTTCGTTATGCTAAAAGTGACGATCATGACAAAGTGATGATTGAATGGGGCAGACAGCGTCGCAGCAAGGGCGCGCCATTGACGGGTCCAATGCTAATGGCTCAAGACAAAATATTTCATGAAAAATGAACACTTAAAAACTGAGTGCACATATTCAAACAAATTTACAACGCTGATGAAACTGGGTCTTTTCTGGCAATATGTACCACAAAATACCTTGGCAAACTCTACAGAAAACATATCAACTGGTGTCAAAGATTCCAAAGCGAGACTTAACAATTTTAGCATGCGCAAATGCTGTAGGAACATACAAGTGCAAACTTTCCGTAATCGGAAAACATGCATGACCTCGAGCATTTAAAGGTAACGATTTTCCCTGTTATATGTCGCGCAAATAAAAGAGCATGGATGACACAAGCGTTGATGAATGATTGGTTTGAAAATCATTTTATACCCAGAGTTCGGCGACATTTGAATTTGGTTGGTTTACCAGATGAGTCAAAAATAGTCCTGATTGTTGACAACCGTTCGGCGCATACTTCTAGTGAAAGATAATGTATCCATATTATTCTTCCCTCTAAATTGTACATCTATCATTCAGCTTATGGATATGGGAATAGTGCACATGCTGAAATGCAAATATAAAATAGCATTTTAAAAATCTATGTTAAATTTCTTGAACAATGGAAAGATTATTCAAGACTTTTTGAAATTTTTTAGCATAAAATCTGCTGTGTGGAGCATCGCAAGATCGTGGGAGGATTACCAGATGGCAAAATCTGTAGTATGGTTCTAGATCCAGAAAATACCACTTCTGATAGTGAAGAAAATGACAGAGAGGTTATTGAAAACAAAAAAATTTCGATTGGCAAGTTAGTTGGTATTCTCGACACAGCAATTACAGCACTTGAACAGTGTAACTTTGTAACTGAACAAGAAATTATGTCTGTTTATAGAATTAAAGAGAAAGTATTAGCACAAAAAACGAAGCAACTTAAACAACTTACATTGAAAGAAATGTTTAATAAAGTAAACAAATAAATATGAAGCTTTTTTTTTTTATTTGTAAATTTTGATACTCTTTAGATCATAATTGCTCTTTATTTCATAAATTACGGTTTCATATTTTTAATCGTATAATTTCTGCATGACATCTTAACAGATTTAAATTGACAATCTATAATTCAGAAAAACCCCTAATCTGAAATTGCCGAAGTTCCGACGAGTCCGGATTACGGGCTTTGTACTGTACCAATTTAGCTGCTTTTTTAATTGCTTAAAAAATACCTGTTATGGTGTATTCTGTTTCACTATTTGTAGTAAGCACAGTATAAGAAGCTTGTTTGTGTTTGCGATAATATATTCGATGACCTGTTATTACACCCCGTGTCTTTTCCATTGGTAATTCACTCCACTGGACATGAAGTGTTGTTGGACTGATGCTGGATAGTGTTATTTTGGGAGCAACAGTAGGAACTAAAAAAAAAAAAAAAAAAAAAAAAAAAAAAAAAAAAAAAAAAAAAAAAAAAAAAAATTAAACATTTTATACACACACACACACATAAAAGAATAAATACAAAGCAGTTCAAAACATAATAAAATTGCACGCTGCTGCGCAGGGAGAGGTAATAACAAAGCATAACAAAATTACATTTCAAATTCATCACATATTCAGTCTGGAATAAACTGCATGTAAAAAAAAAAAAAAAAAAAAACTACCCTACATAAGCACAGTAACAAACTGCAAGAAAGAGGGATGTAAAATATGGCAAATATGAAATTTACATATTTCGTTGAATTGTCATCTGGGGTTGGTGCAGTAAAAGACATAATTAAAAAAACAGCCGGTTTCTGAACCAACAGGGGGGTTAGACTGATAATGACAGATTACTTTACTTTTACTGTTTTTATAAGATTATTTTAAATTTTATTTTGAGCCTTTGTCAGTTCAGAAACAGGCTGTTTTATTTATTTATTTACTTCCTTTTGTTGCACCAATCCCCAGATGCTCATGCAGTGACAGATGTAAATTTGATATGTAATTTTTGGTTTTGGCATATTTTGCCCCTTATTTCTTGCAGTTTGTCACTATTCTTCAAGTCTTTTGGTTTTTGAATGTGAATATGTGATCAATTTTAACATATTTTTTATTTTATTATACAATATATACATTTTAATTTTTGCTGAAAAATAATTTATTTTGCTGAATATGTATCTATGAACAAGTATTTGGACATATTTTCATTCAAGTAATTTTAATCAAAATCAAAAGAAAAATTATGGATGTTAAATAACAAATAAAACCTAAACTAAGAATTACTCATTAGAAAATGTCTAAAATACAGTTTATTCAATTTTATATATATATATATATAGTAAGTGCAACACAACCACCGGAGGGTCTCACCGACACGGCAGCAGCGAGAGTGAGGTGAAAGAGGAGTATGACATATGGACAATCTTCTATTCCACGCGAAGGTGCTTGAATAATGAACTGTGCAATAGTCAAAGATGTCTGTTTTTTCCTTGGATACTTGTTTGGAATTTTTGTCCCACTTGAGGCTCCAATTTGACGTTTTTTTCCTTTCTTGTTGATGATATTACCTATTGACGCTTTAGATATCACAAAACCATGATTCACACATCATTTTTGGGTAACGGAGTATGCGTATTTCTTTTCGGAAAGAGCGTAAATGTAGCCTTTGAACCACTGCTTTGTTAAATTCGGCATTTTGAATAAAAACAAAACTTTCAAGCCGCAGACGATAATTTTGACTTTTAAAAACATAGTACAATTGCAATTACTTCTTTTACAGCAAATGATTTTTTATTACCGCTTATCAAAATCGTCTAAAAAATGTGCGAACAGCCTCTGTATTTAATTCAATTTGTAACTTCTTCTGTTATTTTTATTAAATGTTTTGTGGTGTGGAAATTGTTGTTCGCGCCTTATGTAAATTTTGTTTTTGTTCCCTGCAAGAGGGCGCCTGCGAGCGCCGAGCTACCTGTATATCTATTGTATGAACTTGTTCTTCACACAGTCTAATAAACGCAATAACGAACGTTTGTGTCTACTTTCCATCTGCTAACATGGTCCGTCGAGCCGGAGCATTTCTTTGGATGATGTGTCAAGACAATTTTTAACGTTCTGGTATAGGAGGACATTTCGTGCAGGGAAAACGGATTTATATTTTGTCTAGATTGTGAAAACAGCAGCAGGAATATGGAATCAATTTTAAAGCAAAAGCGAATTATTAAGGGTAAGTTGACTCGTTTAATTTCACAAGTAAATGGTTTACAAAATCAAGAAAATTCTTTTTCTGCCATTGAAGTGTACGAAAATGATGTTGGTGCATTAAGTGTTGAAGTGAACTGTTTAAACGATAACATTCTTGGTACTTGTTCTGACGCAGAGTTTAGTAAATATGAAATAGAAATGCATGAACTATTTTCCAAATTAGATGTATTAAAAATTACTTTAAAGGAAGAAATCAGAAAAGAAAAACTTAGTAATTCAGGCAAAGATATAATAAATGCTAATGCAGACGGCTTGAAACTTCCTCGCGTGGAATTGCCAGTGTTTACTTCTAATTATGTTGACTGGATATCATTTAGGGATTTATTTCTGGCCAGTGTTGGAAATAATAGTACATTAAGTGACAGTCAAAAATTGCAATATCTTAAGCTTTCTGTGAAAGGTGAAGCTGCTGTTTTACTACAATCAGTTCAAATTTCAAACGCGAATTATGAAAAGGCATGGGAAGCGCTTACTGAACGTTATGAAAACGAATTAGAAATAATAAACGCAGCATTAAATAAATTAACTTCACAGCCTGTTCTAAAACATGAATCAGCTTCAGGTTTGTGGAGATTAATTGATATAACACAACAGTGTATTGATACATTAAAAATCCTTAAACAGCCGGTAGGTTAGAGCATTGGGGATACTATGATTATTTTTCTGTTTAAAAGGAAAACTTGATCATGAAACGCTAAAAGAGTGGAGGATGGAGCATTCGAACAAGAAAATTTCTGCTTTCGCTAAATTCAAGTGTTTTATTTTAAACAGAGCGAATGCTATTGCCTCTTTGGAGAAGTGCCAGAGGGAGATGGCAGTTTTGCCTTCTGAAATTAAAACTTGTGGTTCAGGTAGCAGATATGCTTTTTCGTCCCAACTTGTAGCTAATGTGTGCGTTCATTGTAGTAAGAGTAATTCTCATTCTCAGTTATTTAAATGTGATAGTTTTTTAGAACTCCCTATCAAAGAAAAATGGGATATTATTAAAGGAATAAGATTATGTGCTAATTGTTTGAAAGATAGTAAAACGCATTCCCATTTTTCAAATGTCGTGCAGGAATGTGTAAATATTGTTCAAAGCCACATAATACAGTGTTATGTTCGAAAAAATTCAAATGATGAAAAAACTGTCATATACCCATGGAACACGGAACTTCTGCTATTAGTAGCAATAACGCCACGGTGCCTGTTGCACGCAAGCAGTTTTATTGCCTACTGCGATTGTTTATGTTAAAAGATATTAATGGCAATTTACAAAAATGCAGGATGCTAATTGATTCAGGTAGCCAGGGCTCATTTATTCGAGAGCACTGTGTAAATTTACTGCAGTTAAAGCGCACTAGTGCAAACATAAGTGTAAATGGCCTGAGCTCGCAAAAAATTGGAAAGGTTTCAGGTTCAGTTCATTTCAATTACAAGTAACATCTCCATTTTATAAAAACGCAAGCATTTCAGTTAATGCATTAATTATACTCAAGATCACGTGTGACCTCCCTCAATATCAAGTTGATAGATCTGTTTTGACATCTTTCAAACATTTGTGGTTGGCAGATACAAATTGTTTCCAGCCTGGCCCAATAGATATTCTTTTGGGCGCAGATGTAATTGGCGAGATAATGCTTCATGGACGTTTAACTGTTCCGGGTCATTCGTTAACAGCCTTTGGAATCAATATTCGGCTGGGTCATTATCGGAAAGACTAAAAGTGTATCACAAGACAATTGTATCTAATCATGCTTAGTTGTACCAATGTTCAGCTCCAGCTTGAAAAATTTTTGGAAATTGGAAGAAAAAATTTCGGAGAAATAAACCCATTACACAGAAGAGGAAATTGAAGTGTGAAAATCATTTCAAGCGGAATTTTTCTCGTGACTTCAACATGTAGATATGTTGTTAAGTTTCCATTTCGTAGATCGGTAGCAATGAACTTGGGTCATCAAGGGGGGATGTTGTTGTACATCGTTTACAAAGCACTGAACGTCAATTTATTAAGAATAAATCTCTTTCCAGTCAATATCACAAATTTATGGAGGACTATCAACAAACTTGGTCATATGGAATTGATTCCAGAAAATGAAATTGATTGATGTTCCAGCTAATTCTAGTTTTTACCTTCCGCACCATTCAGTTCCGGATAAAAATGGTGATAAATTTCGAGTCGTATTTGATGGTTCTGCAAAATCTTCTAGCGGTATTTCTCTTAATGAGAAACTGTATAATTTATTTCCTTTTCAGCAAGCATTATCTGCACCACTACTGAATGATTCTGTGCCAGAGCAAAGATGTGCTTTACAGTCTACAACTGCTGCCAGTCACTTGACAGACGCTCATGATTTATTTTATAAATATTCCTCTCTCACTAAACTTAAACGTGTTGTAGCATTATGTCTGAGGTTTGTAAATAACTGTAAAAATTCAGAAGATCATGTAAGTGGATTTCTAAAAACAAGTGAATTAACTAAAGCTATGCATGTGTTAATTAAATTAATGCAATATGTTGAATTTAAGAATGAAATTAACACTTTAGGCAGAAATCAATCATTATCTGGTACAAGCAAAATTTTATCTTTAAATCCATTTTTAGATAATTTAGGTATTCTCAGGGTGGGCGGTCGCTTGCGACATGCAAACCTTGCATATGGTTTTAGGCATCCAATTTTGCTTCCAAAGAAGCATATTTTAACTCATCTCATTGTTAGACATTACCATGAAAGACTTTTGCATGCAGGTCCACAACTGATGCAATCTTGCATTCAAGAACAATATTGGATCATAAATGGTAGAGCTGTTATCAGAGATTTAGTTAGGAAATGTATAAAGTGTTGCAAAATTAGAGCATCTGTCACTAATCAATTGATGAGCGATTTGCCGTCTAGTCGCGTTTCGCCTGCTCCTGCGTTTTTGCGCTGTGGAGTGGATTACGCAGGTCCTTTTCAAATTAAAGCAAATAAGGGTCGAGGCTCTAAGTCATTCAAGGCATATATAGCTCTATTTGTTTGTTTTACGACAAGAGCTATTCACCTAGAATTAGTGACTGATCTTTCAGCAGATGCTTTTATTGCAGCTCTTAAGAGGTTCATTTCCCGCAGAGGCAAAAGCAGTGATGTATATATAGTGATTGTGGCTCCAATTTTGTTGGAGCAAAACGCAAGCTCATGGAATTTGAAAGGCTTGCTAG